AAACAATTCCAAGTAATTCGTTTGTTTGCTCGCACTATTGCTTATTTCATAATAATGGACATAATATTATATGTTATTTTGGTTTTGGAGTGATATATGTGGATATATTACCTGTTAAGATTTTATATCACCCGAGCCGTTAGGCGAGGGTGATATTTTATCTTGGCAGGTAATATATCCACATATATCACTCCAAAACCAAAATAATAATTTTATTACCCTTCCCCTGCCGAGTTTAGACGATTTTTTAAAAAATCATTGCTGTTTCAAATGAAACGTCGAAATAAGATTCCCTTTAGGATACCTCTTCGTCACAACATGACGTCACATAAATACATGACGTATTTTTCCTGTACCTTACGAAAGTAAACAAGAGAAAAGGAGTAGTCTATTGAACGCACTTTTTTGTAATTAATATCAAGCTTTCACAAGGTCATATTTGTTTTTGATACTGATGGTAATATGTATCATTACTCTACTTTGGTAAATATTGATCATTTGACAGTTAAAAAGTGCTTTTAAATCGGAATTTACACCGCGTAAAATCGAACCGTACGCGCATCACCTCGGCGCATGTTGTTTACAACGTTGGGTACCAAACGGGGAAATTTAGTGTGTATATTACCCGTCTGGCTCGGTTATATCAATTTCTTTCGGGTGATCAATATCCAATCAAAAAGGCGGAAAAAATCTGGATGGGTAATAAAATTAATTATTTGTAATGAAAAGTATCTTTCCCAGATCAAAATTGTCTCGGTAAAATATTTGACAATACTATGTCGTTTACATAAAAGTCATAAAAGACAGATAAGCAACTTGATGTATCAATATTCAATTCATGTGAATGCCATAGCTTCAAAATTCATTAAATTTAATAACATCTTTTAAAACTGTAACATTAAAAATAGAGTTTTATATTAAATCATATAATAAACCATCACTGTCTCTGTCATTATTATGTGAATGTGAAAGAAAATAAAGAAATGCTTTAATTAATGTATCTATTTTATTTTTTATTTGATTCTATCTATAAAGGTTAAAAAAAAATATTTTCTTGTCGAATCTGTTTGTCACTATCCTACAGCTAAAAGCTGTTTAATTTCCTGTTTGCACAGATATGTAAACTGTGATAAAAAGGGTTTTAATGAATTTGATTTCAAAATAATGATATAAAAAGAAAGTTTCGAAAAATGTACATAAAATACTTATCAAAATAACATCAAATGTAAACCATTTCATAACATAATGGAATGAATTTAGAGAACACCGGAAAACGGCAAATAATTCACCGTTTAATTGTCCGTTTAATGTATTAAACGCGAAAAATACAGAGACATAGCAATTATTATATCACTTTGGCAACAAGCAACCATGATTTTAATTTTCTTTTCTTTTTCATGAAGTGTTTTATCGGTCAAACATGTCCGATATTGACTTATGTGATAAACTATAAGATTATATTTTTTACATAACAGTGGTATGAGTGTACTGAAGACGGAGGATTTGGAGCAAGATGGTTGGAGGATGGTATTTAGAGGGACATCTGGCAATGGCCATAGTGTTTACCATGCTTGGATTGACGGTACTTTTATCCATAATAGCAATGATTATCTTAACAATCCACATTTTATTTATTATTTGAATCGTTTACTTTTCTTCACAAATTTATTTTTCAAATGTGGTGTGGCAGCTATTATCAGTTGTTCTTTACTTCATTTCAGTTTTATAATATTGTTCTAGTCAATCGGAGTCATTGATTGCAATACATTGTATTGTGTTGAATATCCTTTACTGCTTAAGCCGGTAAATTTACCAATGTCTCGCATGATAGCACTCAATAAAAATTGAGCCGTGTCACGACAAAACCAACATAATGGGTTTGCGACCAGCATGAATCCAGACCAGCCTGCGCATTCGCGCAGTCTGATCAGGATCCATCCTGTTCGCTTACAAACCCTATAACAAGTATAGAAACTGATAGTGAACAGCATGTATCCTGATTAGACTGCGCGGATGCGCAGGCTGGTCTGGATTCATGCCGGTCGCAAACCCATTGTTATGGTTTTGACGTGACGCGGCTCAAATTGTTTTCATTACTCTTGAGGGATCTTCCTTTTGGAAGAGTGTTAGCGAGGCAAACAAGTAGACATGACGATAAGAAAGTCAAATAAAATAGCTTGACATAAAACATCTAAAACATTTAAAAAAAAAAAACAACAAAAGAAATACTACTCCCCTTCAACAATACGAATATTTAAAACCTTTTCAGTCTTCTTGGTCTACCAAAACATTGTCATATCTGACTAAACAAATCTTCCTCCTAAACAATGTCATATCAACCTGAACATCTCTTTCCAGATATCTTCCTGGTCTAAATAAATACGTTTGTATCTACGTTTCTTCCGTGTCATACCCATGTTAAAATTATCATAAGCTGCTTTAATTAAAGATGTTGAATACTTAAAATAAAAGTACTGAAGTTAATAAAACTGAAACAAAACATAACCACAATTTAAAAATGTAAATTGTCTTTAATGCTAGGAATTTAATAATGATTGATTACATTTTTGAGCAATTTTTCTTTTCTTTTCTTAAACACATTCAGTTTCGCAAATATGCACTTATGGATTCAGTTTTGTTTTTTTATTAACATTGTAAATTGAAAAGTCAAAATGTATAACGAATAAAAAAGCATTAGACATACCGCTGTAATTGTAAGCTTTTCCAATATTGTTATTTATTAAAGCTATTTCAATTTTTGTATGTATATTTACTTAAAATGTCCTTATTTACCAACATTTCATTTACATCATGTTAAAATTGAACAGTATATGTAGAGTGTTATTTTATGTTTCGTCATTTTCAGGAAAGAATTCAAACACAGACAAACCAGTTTCCATGAAACGTTCTCATGGTTTACATTATCGGGATAACATCTTAGACAACTGGACAAACCTTGGTATCAAGATGGTTAAATTTGCGTTCTATGATACTGACAAAGAGGTAGCGTACGTGATCTTCAACGGGGTTGACAGCGACATACACAACTGGTTTGATAGGAAACGTGTGATTGATTCGAGCTGGGCAGACCTGACGTCAAAAAGTGTCTTCAACTTTTTCTCTATTACAGGTCATTACAACGACAAGATACATGATCGTCGTTTTTACATCAACAGAAATTATGGCGGATGTCCAAATGACCGTGGTCACCTAATAGTTATTAATTCTGCTGTTCCCTCTCCCATATGTTTGTTTGACAGCCAGCCATCCTACCCAACGTTTATGTATTCAAAATATAATTCGGTCGACTTCTTTCAGAGAAGAATGTTTGGCATCGCGGACTTCATGGTGGTTTTCATAAAGACAAGCGGTTAATTGATTGAATGTTAACACCACAGTGACAAAATACCGTCTTTGATCAAAACTTATATAAGAACGCAAATCATTTGCAATTGTTATTTTTCAAGGACACGTTTTTCTGCTAATTAAACTGTTAAACGTATTGCTATGTTACGTTTATGCAATGTTTCTTTTTTTTCTGATTACATTTAATCGAAACAACTCTAACAATAACAATAAGTAATCTGAATTATTGACCCTGATACATAAACAAATATGAACGAATAAAAATTGCATAATCGTGTTATTATTTGTTTCACAAATATGAAAGTATTTAGCAAATGAGATATAATAATCTTGAGTTAAAAGGGTGTTGTTTCCAAAATTAGGCGCCAGTAAGACCTAATGATGATTAAATTAATATTATGACGTCATCCCTTTGTTCTGACGTACTGTACTTTTAACACAGTACATCAGGTTGTCCAATACTAATGTGAAAGTCCAATATAAATCGTGATACGCATAAATATTAGACAGCATGCCTTGTAGTGAAAGAAACTTGTATGACCACAGGACTGGAATTTCATCCTTATAAAAAATAAGTACCACATTACCTCTTATATCAGAAGTAGATATGAGTAATTCAACGCCTTTCCCCACCCATTACCACGGGGGTGGAACCCCATATCTATCTCAAAAATGAGCATCGGTAAAAAGTATATGTGAATTTCCGCTGCTCCAGATGTGAAGCATAGCACCAGATGTGGCTGTGAAAATACATGTATGTCAATCGCAGGGTAAGTTTTCATCTTTTTAAACAGTTATATAAAATTCAATCAATTTTAAAGAAAATCGAAATGTGATTCTACCCTCTTGACTCTCCTCTATATTACCAATTTTTGTTTTGGATTTCTATGCAGGCTTCATCGAGATATTCTTTCCGTCGTTGGTTCTGGTGTCCCAAAACATGCAATGTTAATGAAGAAAATGTCACTAAACGGACTCAAAAACAGAGATTTAAAGAAATCTAACCATTCAGACAAATCCTGATTTAAACATTTATTGAAATTTTGCTACAAACGATGGAGTCGCTGCTCGAAATTGCATTTGAGCTCCATATGTGCTGAAGAGATCCATAAGTGATGTAGAAAACCATCTTCAAAACATCGGATCATTTCCATATAATCGATATGATTATAATGAGATAATCACTCAGGTCTATCTATATTACTACGCATTTGAACTCATACCGTGCATTGTATCATAGTTTGGGGACCTTTCTGTTGAAAATGTGTCAGAGTTAAATCGTATACATATACATGCACAGTTCGTTAACTGGAGTGCATGTATTACTTACCCGCACTCCAGAGCATGCCCATTTATTGGCTCATTTTTGCTGGGGTTTACTTACTGTGACGGAAGAGAAAGGGAAAGCGACAGAAATATCATATTCAGATGCTCGTTCATTGGTTACTTTTTCCCCGGGGTTTCATATTATGACAACAGGGAACGTGTTTTTATGTTTGACTATGATACGTCCCCTCGTACAAATCAGATACCCTCGTGTTTCGATGCTCTTTCTATTACATATTCTACAACAATGCACTCAAAATTTATATCTATTTCCTAAACAAAACAAAAACATTGTGAGAAATAGTTCCTGCATTTCAATTTTTATTCTTAAATTAACGTTCATCTGTAAGTTTCACATATTAAAAATATTTTATATAAATATCAAGATTATCCAATGAAAAGCGACGTTACAAACGTGCAGATTAAAAAAAAGAGTACTATGTTTAATCAGCGTGGAATATTCGTATCTCGTTTTAAAATAATAAAGTAAAAGTTGGATGTGTCATCTTGAATAGATAGAATGAATAACTGCCTGAGAATAACGACACTAGCAAGCGTCCTTGTTTGTTTGGAATACATTACGTCACACATTTCCTGATCGACACGTATGACGTCACACAATGCCGGCGTCTTTCGCCATTCCATAGAATATGCTTTCCGTGTTATCTAACAGGAATGCGGGTGTATCGAACTCCGCCAGTTTACCTTTGTCCAGGACCATAATCCTTGAAATATTACAAATATAAATACATAACTACGATTATAAGTTTTTATTATATACTTATAAATAAAATATTGAGAAATATGGATGAAATAAAATGCATATTTTCATTTTCCGTATTTGCACTGTAAAAATTTATTTTTCACTGCAGTGAAACATATTTTCCGTATTTTCACTGGTGTCTTGCCGGACTACTTTCTTTTAAATTCTCCCAGTACACAAAATTTAAGGGAAAGTCTTTCAAATTTTAATGTCAAAAAAGAGAAAAATGTATATAATAAACAGAAAATTCAAGTTTTTTCTATAAATACACGATTTATTTTCATCTTGTGGCATGAAAATTACCATATTTCACTTGTGGCTACCGCCACTCATAAAATATTTATTTTCATCCCACTTGATGAGAATAAATCATGTATTTATAGAAAAAAACTTGAAAATCCTATATATATTGTCATTACACATGCGTATTACATTTAAATAAATAGCTCTTAAATACATTTTGGAAAATATTCATTTTGTATAGATTGATTTCAAGATTCATAAAGTTTTTTTTCTATCGAAGATCCCACAGTGTATCTTTATAATACTTCAAATAATTATTTACAAATTTGGCAAGCGGAGAGAGCGTTTCAATGACCTACTCGCCATCTTGCTTTGGTCACTATTTTAAGCGACGGTCGGTATTTACAAATAGAAAAACTGATTTTGAACGAAATAACGTAAAGTACATTAAGTTTGTTAAATAATAGATGTATAACATAAACTTGTTTACCTGTCATAATCCATCACTGTACTAAGTCTATGAGCAACTGCTAATATTGTACACTCACTGAATTGTTTACGGATGGTTTCTGAATTATTTAAAAATGAAATACATGTGACACAGCTTGAAGAAATAGAAATTTATACTACTGTTATTTCGTAGAGTTAGTTCACTTTGTTTAGAGAAATTTCTCAGCTTATGGGTCGCCTTGTGTGAAATATTAACGCAAGCATTAAAACTATTTAGCACTTTTGTGCTTTGTCCGTCTTCATTTACGACGATTAAGGACATGTGACACAGCTTAAAGAATGGACTGAACACTTATTTTGCTGTTATTTAGGTAGAGTTACTTCCCTTTGTTTAGAGAAATTTCTATCTACTTGGCCTTGTATGAACAATTATTATTTGCAATCTTTTACCTTGAATGAGATCATCTGTCTCCATATCAACAGCTGCAGTTGCCTCGTCTAGTATGAGAATCTTTGTTTTGTGTAAGAGTGTTCGTGCTAAACAAACTAATTGTCTCTGTCCGACACTGAAATATGATCAAAAGTCAGAAAATTATGATGATACCATTTTAATTTAAAAGGTGGGAGAAGACGCCCGGTGCCACTTCGTGCATTATGCCAGACACATGCTAGCACCGAAGCTGCACCATCGGCCTTCATAACCGGATAGCTCCCCTTTCTAAGTCAACGAATCTAGTCTCGGGGAATCAAACCCACAGCTACGTGGGAGACTTAATTTGAAATTAGCAATCTCATTCCCTGGTCCCTGGAGACCCCATTGATTGATCAACAAGTAGATTAATCTCTTTTTCTATTGTATTTTAAATATAGTGCTGAGCGTTAAAACCAGGCATCTCCATTCAGGTTTGTTTCTGTTCCCCTTGATGTCAGACTCCTTTTTAGAGAAACAGATATGACATTCTTAACCCTTGAGCCAGATGACTGCTTCTTGTGTCTAACGTGGTTTTACCAGTACCAATGCACGCTTATTTACTATTTTCTTTCTTTTATTCTTGGGAAATAATTTACAAACAATACGAAAATCTGGCTTTGGGCCATTAAATTATTTCCGGTGCTCTGTACATAGGGATATTTTGACTTTACAGATTATCTAAAGGTACCTTAAGTTTTGTCCGGATTCGCCGCATTCAAACTCCAGCCTCGCCTCCTGGCTCATAACAAACTCCTTTAGATGCGCACACTCGATGGCGAACCATATACTCTCATCGTTATAGTGGTTGAATGGATCTAAATTGTTCCTTTAAACGATCCGGAAAATAGGCATCATGGGTCCTAATTTAACAAAATGCGAAACGATCGTTATATGACACAGTGAAACTAAACTTCTTGTTTTCCTGAAACATCATTTGTCATTACTGATTAAAGAACGTAAGTGTCGGAGGAGGGACTTTACTCCCGATTTTTTTTTTCTAAAATAGGACGAATTGATTTTCGTTTGTTAAAACGTTAGCGGCAAATGACTTAGAAACGGCATCTGTTATGATAATTTATATAGATAAAAATGACCATATCAAACTTAGAACTAATTTTATCGATCATTGCAAGACACACATTCTTTAGAAAAATTTAAACTGATTTAAAAATATGAAAGTTAGACGATCAAATATAGACATAACACGCCATGTCTCCTCCCTGCCATAAATCAAGTTTTTGGATACATTCACTTGAGATATGTTGTTATCCCACGAGTCCGTAGGACTCTTTTTTAGTTGAAAATAACTGTTTTGCTTTAGTTTATCAGAATACTTGTATAAAATTTTAGGTATATGTCAATTAAACTTTTTTCTAATCCAGAGTTTTACAAGATATATAACAATACGTTTGACAGACCTGTGGAAGTATAGTTAGTTTCTGTCTCAGTTCATGAAGACCCAGTGTTGATATATCTACACCATCGATCACTATAGCACCGTCCGCCGATTCTATAAGCCGGAAAAGAGCGAGTGCCAGCGAAGATTTCCCGGCTCCCGTTCTACCTACTATCCCCACCTGAAGAAAGTGATGAATGAATGAATGAATGAATGAGTGAGTGAGTGAGTGAGTGAGTGAATGAATGAATGAATGAATGAATGAATGAATGAATGAATGAATGAATGAATGAATGAATGAATGAATGAATGAATGAATGAAAATCTCAAGTGTACATAAGTACGAAACAGTGAAAGAAAAAATAAACAATTTAAACTCTGTAGAGCGACCATCTGTACAACAATACATGTAATTCATTTACATCAAATGTTCAAAAAAAATATTAAAAAGAACACAAAGAATCAGATTAAATATGGAATTTAACTAATCAGAGTAACACCTCCCAGTCCCAGATACAAGGTACTAGTATATCTCTACACCTCAGAAAGGTTGTAATATATATAAAAAATGGAATAATCAAGAATTTTAGAAATACAAATGTAATATGAGAGTCAAGGTTTTCAAAAACTTTTTCTCCCTTCTGATAGTAACACGTGTATCATCGTACACCAGGTCAACCTTCTCCCTATAGCGGGTTCTTGTATCCTGAAAGTCTAATCCTAACCAAAGCTGTGGCCAACTGAGGCCAGATGCTGTGAAACTATCGCTTTTAATCCCACTGCGCTAGACATGGAAAAAAATGAAGCTATAAAAAAGGAACATTCTCCACATTGCCATCTTACAAAATGAAAGTATTCAAATAGCAGGACACCGCCAAGATTAAACAAAACATTGACAAAACCCACGTATGCAAAATTTCCAAATCATTTTGCATATACCTCGGTAGACAAGGCTATATACATGTATTTGCACATATCTCGTTGAAAGTGTCGTATATGTTTTGAACATACTCCGATAGTTATTGTCGTATATTTCTATATACTAGTATATCTTGAAAAAGTGATATATCTAATACATCCCTTGGCAGTAGATGTTGTCATTTTGGTACATACCTCGGTGGTAGTGTTGTATATTTTGTACATACTTCGGATGGTAGTGTTGTATATTTTGTACATACCTCGGGTTATAGGGTTGTATATATTGTACATACCTCGGGTGGTAGGGTTGTATATTTTGTACATACCTCGGGTTATAGGGTTGTATATATTGTACATACCTCGGGTGGTAAGGTTGTATATTTTGTACATACCTCGGCAGGAAGCGTTTTATATTTTATACATACCTCGGGTGGTAGGGTTGTATATGTTGTACATACCTCGGCAGGAAGCGTTGTATATTTTGTACATACCTCGGGTGGTAGGGTTGTATATTTTGTACATACCTCGGGTGGTAGGGTTGTATATTTTGTACATACCTCGGGTGGTAGGGTGGTATATTTTGTACATACCTCGGGTGGTAGGGTGGTATATTTTTGTACATACCATGGGTGGTAGGTTGGTACATTTTGTACATACCTCGGGTGGTAGGGTGGTATATTTTTGTACATACCTCGGGTGGTAGGGTTGTATATTTTGTACATACCTCGGGTGGTATGATTGTATATTTTGTACATACCTCGGGTGGTAGGGTGGTATATTTTGTACATACCATGGGTGGTAGGTTGGTACATTTTGTACATACCTCGGGTGGTAGGGTGGTATATTTTGTACATACCTCGGGTGGTAGGGTGGTATATTTTGTACATACCTTGGGTGGTAAGGTTGTAAATTTTGTACATACCTCGGGCGGTAGGGTGGTATATTTTGTACATACCTCGGGTGGTAGGATGGTATATTTTGTACATACCTCGGGTGGTAAGGTGGTATATTTTGTACATACCTCGGGCGGTAAGTTCGTTTATATTGTACATACCTCGGGTGGTAGGGTGGTATATTTTGTACATACCTCGGGTGGTAAGGTGGTATATTTTGTACATACCTCGGGTGGTAAGGTGGTAAATTTTGTACATACCTCGGGTGGTAGGGTTGTATATTCAGTGACACGTTCAGCTGATATGATGTTCATCTCCATCTCACTGATTGCAAACACTCCAAAGTTCAATGTTATTGTAAGCTGAAATGTGGCAATATTTATCTCAACACACACACTATGTAGTCAAACCTTTGCTTTTCAGTGTCAGTTTAAAACATATTTATTGTAGCCCGATAGCGAAACAATTTCATTCAACTTATATCAATTACTTTCGAGCCAGCTTCCTGAAACCAACCAGTACTGGGTGTCATATGAGAAATCATGGTCGTGACCCGAGTATGGCTCGAACCCATGGTCCCTGGGCTGAGAGGCAGACACCTTAACCACTAGACCACCGCTCCCCTTGACAGTGTTGGTGAGACTTAAAGTGCTATGTGGCAATTACTTACAATTCCCCGATGCATTTTATGATTTTGATTTTCCATTTAATTTATTTCATTATCGCTTCATTTTCCGAAATTTTGAGATCCTTGGTTGATGATTGAATACTGCGTAGAATGTTAGGTTCGAGATTGTGTGCTTTTCGTTGTTTCTCATGAACTGACTCAACCAAACCGAATCAAATTTTTACTCTCGATTGATCTTTCTTTTCCAGACTGTTAAATGGTTTTATAGTCAGCATTTAATTTGCCTGTACTACAGAAATGGCTTTTTTTAACTTTAACGACAATCAGGAAATTTATTTGACAGTGGCATACTTGCACAGCATAGGTGACCGACATCCCAACTTGCGCGCCGTTTAAATCATAGGAAACTAGGGCAAACAATGCCGCCAAGAACGCCACGAAATTTCCCATCAATTCAAGTCGCCATCCTACCCATCTGGTGAACAAATAAAACAAAATATTATGTTACCTACATAACAATTACAATATGTGTACGTTTATGAAGAACTACTAGGGTGCCCGTTCGTGCCTGATATAATGTACGGATTGGCAGACAAGATCCCCCCTAGTAAAACAAGAATGTCGGAGTGTCGGTTTGGCAAAATAAAAAAAATCAAACAGTTCCTAATCAAACTGAAAGGAAATACAAGAGAAGTGAACACTAAATATCTGGCACTTTGTTAGGAATGAACTTGCACTTTTCAAAATGAATGTCAGCTGAATACATAGACCTATACTTTTAGAATTAGAAAATGTTGATTTTAAATTGATCACAATATACATGTATTTCTTTGGAAAGAGGATACATATGCTTTGATGATTTTACGAAATGGGAAACATATCACCGTCAAAAAATTCATTCATCTTTTTAGATTATAATTAATTATGTCAACAAGATTAAATCTTTATTTTATATTTTACCTTGCGCCAGAAATTGCGGCGTAATAAAATTTGATATTTTCATCAATGCGTTGTCTTGATTCCTGCACAAATCGTTCCGGACATCTATATGCTCGTATTACACTGGCACCAGTAATCGTCTCACTGTCAATGAAAGTAACATTTCGTGAAAATTCGTTTCGGAGCAAAATTTTTACTACTCCTCGTCGGCGTCACATCATCATCATCATCATTATTTTTATATTATCATTACGATCTTTGTTATTATAATCGCCATTATCATCATCATCGTCGTCGTCGTCGTCATTATTATGAACATCATTATCATCATCGTCATCATCATCATTATATTATCATCATCGTCGTCGTTATCATAATCATCACCATCGTAATCATTATCAGCATCATAATTATCCTCCTTATCATAATTATCATCATCATTATCTTTATCGTCATTATCATCATCGTCATTATCAGCATCATCATCATAATTATCATCATAATCATTATTATCACCATCATTATTATTATCATCATCATTATTATTATAACCATCATCATCATTACCATCATCATCATCTTCATTATCATCATAATCATCATCAACATCATCATTATTATTACTGGTATGCACTTTAAGTCATAAAAGTAGCTAAGTTTATTTTAGAGCTGAGGGACTTTATACAATTATACTGAAAAATGTTATTTTTATTTTCCAACTCATTTTTCTGTTACATGTAATATATCAGCGCCAATTCTAGTTTTGTCTTTATTTAAATCATTCATTACAAACTGTGTAAAGACTTCCGTTAACTCAATTATGGATCAAACACAACACTCAAATGAAGATGATAATCCTCTGTTTATTGCACATGGCATAATCGGTTTTCGTACAAGAATTGTTTAAATTAAACTACATTATGCAATGTCGTACGCTGTTGTTTCATAGAAACTGTTCTCACCTGAAGTGGTTATAAACAGGTGATCGTTTAACAGACTCTGTTCTTCTCATCTGTCGTGCTGTTGGAAGATAAAACCTCTGAAATAGTTCATACAGCTTACTTTGTAGCTTTAATATCATGTCACATGTCATGTCTCATATTATTATACATTTGTCATATCATTTTATATATATCATAATCAAACTTTACACCATATAAGATATAGCCAATGCGCGATTTTAGCATTTGCGCCATCTGGGACATTTTAAGTGTCAGGAAACATGTAACGTTCCAATGTTAGAACTTATAGCCCAACTCATTTGCTTTTGTTTTATTCTTAAATTATGTGTTTATACAATCACGCCCGGCAAACTGTCGCTCCACTTCAAAATTGTGGTGTACGGTAAAACGAGCGAACGGCATTTCCGAGATAGAGCGGAAGGCCGATTTAAACGCCTAATTGTAAGTATTGTTTATGTTTTTGTCTTGTTATTCATTTAAGTTGTATTTTTTCGAAAAACGGAAAATGTAGTTCCGTGTAGGATTGATTTAGGCTTCCAATGATTTAAGCTGTTACAAAATGAAAATTATATTAAGCCCGGGAGAACTTTTCTCCCTGACGAAGCGAACGATGATTTGTAGAATATTGAACTTCCCAACAATAGAAATGCCATACCCTTCAGATTTCTTGAAAAAGTGTATTAGTAAATGATCAATCCGTAATAAGAACTTGTCATTCGTGCAAAATAGATTACTCCTGAAGGATTTGTTAAATTTGTAAAACGATATTTTTCGAAAGTAGTGGAGCGAAAGGGCAAGAGATGGAGCAAAAGGTTCGATGTTGAGCGCAAGGCGATATTAATTTGACGTATTAGGAGGAGCGTAGTCTATCATTATTTATATATAAAAGCTATAGAAGTTAAAATAGACATGATCAAGTGTTAAGACCGAGATATACATGTATATACCTTTTAAAGACAACTAATAAAGTGTGATACCGGTATCCTTTCAACGATTATAGCGTAATAAATGTAATCGCGAAGGTGTTCACCTATGGCTGCTGTGTAGATTCCATTATTTATGTTCGAAATTTGGATGAGGCCCGACCATTGAATCATACACATGTATGCATGGCATAATACAGGATGCCTCTTATTCGAGGTCAATCATGATTTTTCACACGGTAATGTACATTTAAAAACGTGTGTCCGTGCAAATTCGACAAAATCGAATATTTTCAGTTCTACCGCGAACAAATGTTTCCGAGCAGGTACGTGTAACGCGATTGTTCACGCCAAAATGTTATGTTTATCGAAAAGTTAGATATTCAAGGTGCAGAACAGAAACAAAGTTATGCAATGCATGGAACACATTAAATTAAATGGATCACTTCTACCGAGTTCAGATCACAATGACTTTCCGTCATTAATAGCTCTAACGTACCTGTTCAGAGCAAACACAAATAAGCCACGTTTTCATGAATTTATAAGGTGAGGAATCGCTATGAAAATGGTTGACAAGGTGTCAGTCGATATAAGGATGTAACACGTGTTTCAGTTATGTTTCAAGATACTTCCTCCCTTATTTAGCATTGTTGTTTAGTTTTTTTATTTTCCTCTCAAAGGGTAAATAGAAATGTTTACTTTTTATAATCAAACACTGCAGTACAAATCTTGGTTTAAGAAAAAAATGAGTTAATATAAATATCTAAGATTTTGTTTGTTAAACTATGAACAAAACGAACGTAATAAAAAAAGGCAGAGCTCAGTCGGTGTACGGACTAAAATTATCAATAATATAATAGACCTAGTTAAAGTAGAAATTTCTATTTACACTTTGAAAGGAAAATAAAAAACTAAACAACAATGCTAAATAAGGGAGGAAGTATATTGAAACATAACTGAAACACGTGTTATATCCTTATAACGACTGACACCTTGTCAACCATTTTCATAGCGATTCCTCACCTTATTCACGAAAATATATCTCGGTCTCAACACTTGATCACGTCTATTTTAACTTCTATAGCTTTTATATGTAAAAATTCATAGACTACGCTCCTCCTAATACGTCAAATTAATATCGCCTTGCGCTCAACGTCGAACCTTTTGCTCCACCTCTTGCCCTTTCGCTCCACTACTTTCGAAAAATATCGATTTACAAATTTAACAAATCCTTTAGGAGTAATTTATTTTGCACGAAGGACAAGTTCTTAATACGGATTGATCATTTACTAATACACTTTTTCAAGAAATCTGAAGGGTATGGCATTTCCATGGTTGGGAAGTTCAATATTCTACAAATCATCGTTCGCTTAGTCAGGGAGAAAAGTTCTCCAGGGCTTAAAGTAATTTTCATTTTGTAACAGCTTAGATCATTGGAAGCCTAAATCAATCCTACACGGAACTACATTTTCCGTTTTTCGAAAAAATACAACTTGAATGAATAACAAGACAAAAACATAAACAATACTTACAATTAGGCGTTTAAATTGGCCTTCCGCTCTATCTCGGAAATGCCGTTCGCTCGTTTTACCGTACACCACAATTTTGAAGTGGAGCGACAGTTTGCCGGGCGTGACAATAGACAGGACTGATTTTGAGAATTTGGCTCCCTATAAGATGCTAGAGGCATTTTGTAGTACAAGTGGTATCTTGGTGTATTTTACCTATTAAAGGTATGCTGAATCCGATAAAGGTGGATACCAAATTGAAAAAACTTGATCTTGACCATTGAAATGGCCATTTAAAATGACCACTAAAATGGCCGCCAAATTTCTTTATCATAAATGATTTTATCAAATAAAACTTTTAAGGAAAGGAAAAGCCTGAAATTTGTCACAAAGCATGTTTAGGTAAAAAATCATAAGTATTGCACCTTATAATTAACATAGAAACTTAAATAAATGCTAAATCATGCTCTAAATAGACAAATGGTCCGACATATTCAAGATGCAGATCACTTCTTATAGGAACAATATAATTATAGTGTTGAAGAAAGATATTCCTTATTTGAAGATCAGTAGATGAAAATAAGCACTTTGCGCGATGCGAACATCAAACACTCTTGCTGCTCTATCGCATATGTAGGCAAGAGGTACTGCTTGAGATGGGTAAAAATGTCAATTCAGAGTTTCCACTGGGTTATCGGTACGTCGTCTATTGTCTTTTCTTATGGTTCAGTCACATTCCTCGACTGTCTTCTCTACTATTGTTCGTTTCTTTATTAGTTCCATCAACATTGAAGTCCTACATAGCAGTTCTGCTTGTTGCGAGTTATACCACTTTGCTCTGTAACCGTTAATCAGACGTCATCAGTTCGTCTCATGTGTCGATGCATCGTGGATGGTTTCTACTGAGTCAATCCTGTTCTCGATCTCTATTAATCAGTCCACTGCGTACCGTTTCTGTTAGTTGTCAATTCTCTGGTCATCGTTTCCAACGAAACTCGAAGTTTTCAAAGTACTATCTGTATCGATCTCTCGTTCTCATATCTTAGTCCTTTCACGCTACTCGTTTATGTTACTCTGTTAATCGATACTCGTCGAGAGTTTTCGTTAGTCGGTCCACTTGTCTCCCTTGGCTTTGTAGATCATTACTTCTGTATCTGTTTCGTCCGCTGTTCCTAGTTCTGTTACTCGGTTCTGATGCTTCGTTATCTCACCGTTCTTAAGTCACGTCGATGCCGTCTATGAGTTCTTCTATAATCAGATGTGTCACCGTTTTCTTGTTGTCAATTCTTCTGTCATCGATTCCCGTCTCTATTATCGATCACCGTCTTCGTCCTTTTGTATTCAGTTATCGTCTATGTTATTCTGTTATCGGTATTCGTCTCTATTTTTTCTGTTAACAATCCTCGTCTCCTCTGTTTTGTTATCGATCCCTGTCTCTGTTCGTTTGTTGTCATTTCTTTTGTTATCGGCCCCTGTCTCTGTTCTTCTGTTAGCGGTACTCGTCTCTGTTCGCTTGTTGTCAGTTCTTGTCTCCGTTCTTCCTTCTGTTATCGGTCGTCGTCTTCGGTCTTGTACTTTCGGTACTTGTTTCCTGTTCCGTTAAGGTCTTCTCTTGTTTCTATTCTTGCCGTCATTCTGTGTCTATGTCCTGGTTTTGTCAGTCTTGTAGTCATTTATTCGTTCAGTGGAGTAGCGGGGGATCGAACTCACGACCCCTTGATTTGTAGGCAAACAGTGTTACCACTGCACCATAGCGCCCGCTCTGAATAATAACCATTTTTGAAAACCTTTTATACATTAAATACTATTTCAATGGCTAACAAAGGGTGTATTACAATTATATTTTAACACCTCTATTATGTAGCCAACCTACGTGACTTTTATAAATGGTCAAAGAAATTATTACTCCATTTTTTACAAGTAGTATTTTTATATATAAATTTGTTGTTACTTTAATATATCCTGGAAATTTATTGGAGGGTACCCGGAATTCTAATGTATATCAAATGATGTGATAATCCTCTTGTAGAATTATTCAAAACCGTGACTGAATTCCAAAATTTTCGAGAGCTGCCATGGCATAGCAATCACATGTAGCAATATCCCGGTTTTAGACTTTTTATGACTCGATGAAAATATGGTGTTGTTATTGTTGTTGTTGTTTCTAACTTTAACTTTAATTTTCAAAGTTAATAGTCACTTATTTTTAAACAAGATGGTAAACATTTGTTGTTTTCTGTATTTTTGTTAAGAATGTGATAAAGTATACACTTCTAAGTTTAAGATTATCGATTATCCATCGTATCCCTGAATGTAGTTATAATTGAATCTAAAAAATGAATTATGCAGATATTATTTTTGGCAGAAAACAACAAATACAAACAAAACAACACACAAAAAACCTACATGCAGCATACATGTGTAATGTTTACAATGTGCTGAAAAACGATTCTTTATAAATTTCAACATTTCAGAAAGTGACACATTTTATAAAAGAATGGGACAGAAATGTTATTTAAAAAGTAGGTTGGACATTTTTAACCTAGTTTGCTCAACACTCAATTATCACATTTTTATATATAAACCTGAGGTACATAAAATTGACAGAAAACAACTTTCATAGATTGAGATAGAGCCAAGATGTCGTAGATATTTGGCTTACAAAAGGAGTTTTTGATCCTGATAATGTTTTAAGTAGGATAAACATATTACAAGCTTATATTCTTTAAATTTTGTACTGCCTTAATTTTTTTTAATACTTGCAATTATGTAATTATTATGTCTTTAGTTAGTGTCTGGAGAAAAGGCTTCACAAAGGTGCTATCTTTTATATTATACATAATTTTCATAATGTGTCACATGTCGCCTTGAAAAAAGATTTTGTAATGATTTTGCGCATACTTTATCCCGCTTTTGCATGTTGGAACAACAATAGTTCATTTGTTTGTATACACAGCCTCATTGCTTATTTTGTATAGTCTTATTTTATTGACCTGTCAATTATGAATACATTACAGCACTAATTGAAATATAAGATTACACTTCGATTTCGTTGGTAAAGTTTACGAGAATTAATATGGAGTATATAGAGGACATTTGTTTGTTTGTGTGTAAGATGAAATTTTATTTCATCGAGTGGGCTTTAAAAACAGTATTCCCACGAGTTGCGTGGCCACGAGTGAGAATACTGTTTTTAAAGTTCGCGAGATGAAATAAAATTATACCTGACACAACAAACAAACAAATTTTCTTTTTATTTTATGCTCAAAAATAAGTTAAAACGAATTTTCCTTGATATTAACTTTAATATTAAAATCTGTTTTCCCCACTAGTAGCCTCTATTATGTACATGTATTACTAGTAGTCGAATTTCTCATAAAATACAAGAATTATTGGACTGAAAAATAAGTTCGATAATCAACATTTAATTGAGATGATATTATTCATTTTATTAAAAAAACATGAATGAACGCTTATTTTAATAATAAAAACAACAATTTTAGTAGGAGAAAAAGTCCAAGCATCCATCCATATTTCTGTTACTTACTGCGAATTTATATTAGACCTGGCTCTGTTAAATGTAAGCGGCCGCCATTTTTAAAAGTTGTGTATTTCACGGGAGGAAAATAATTGTGGATATCATTTGGTTTTGTTAGTCATACACCTTTTTATAAGAAAGAAAACTTATTTGAGGATTGTAACAGACAATAAATAAGTGTTGACAGATGTGTAAACATTTAAAAAGTGGCTAGGAAATTGAGACTTGGAATTGTTGAAAGGCTGTCTTACGAACGCTGGGTTGTTTACTTATTCTTCGGGCTGATAGCTGTCATTGCTTTTCAAGTTTTCATTAAAGCACACGGCAGTTATTGCTCGTAGGAAACTTAAATATGCCCAAATGTCATCAAGAGCAGTTTTGCATGTGGAAGGAATGATTGTTTTAGACTGTAAAAATGAAACAAAACAAAAATTAAGACTAAGAGACGATATTTGCTGATTGGTAATTTGGATGAATAGAAGTAAGTTTTCTTCTTTTTATTACTTTTGACATTTAAGTTATTTATCAATTTCAGCTTTGCTTTTCTCTAAACAGCCTGACATTGTCAGAATTGTCAGCAAAAATAAAATTGAGGTGCCACATGGGCAAATCTTATGAAAGTAGTTTCGTCATTGAAAAGTGTGAAATTATATTTTTTTATAATTTTCACTTTGAAATTATCAAATATAATTTTCATGGATAAATCAGTAATCCACTGATAAGCATAGAATAAAAAACGCTATAAAACTAATGTTAGTGGAAGTCATATCTGCTAAAAATGTTAACGTCATCGTAACTTCCGTAGTAGCACAGCCGGTTAAGTGATAGACTCGATGTGTGAGAGGTCTATGGTTCGATTCCTATTGTTGCATTTTAAAGACCTTTTTGTTGGGGGGGGGGGGGGCGCAGTTTATTGTTTGAAACACTTTTTGTGTCGGTTTGTGTTGTGTTTATGGCATTGAAATGATATTTTTTGACATTTCAAAATAATTTTTAAATATTCATTTTAAACCATAAATACCACAATAAGTGCAAAATATATGAAAACAAAATGAACAACTTAAAAAAAAATCATAGTTACGAAATATTAATTTGTTATTACGAAATATTTATTCTTTGGTAATATTTATAAACTTAGTTTCTTGTTAAATATAAGTCAAGTAAACAAAACATTAAAAGTGTTTTTTTTTTCAATCTTAGTCTTATACTTTAACGCGCTAGTAAAACAGTACTGTATATACTGTTAATTGAGCCATTAGACTTATAATCGCTATATTTGGTGGCCAATCTCATTTAAATCTGATCATATTGAATAATCATTAGATTTTGACAAGAATAATTAATTGCATCATATTGTATCATAGTTTAAATGACCTATTATAGTATTTTTAAGCAGCCATTTTGAATTGACCTTTTGAAGGTGAAGGTCAATTTTATTTTCTTGGTATCCACCCTCATCGTCTTCAGCATACCCATATTAGGTTAAAACACTCAAGATATTATTTGTACTATAAAATGCCTCTAGCATTCATATTTTCTTAAAATAAGTCCTGTCCACAAGTATTTACGTGTATCTAGGCAACAAAAATATGGTTAAACTACACTAATGTTCCAATATCAATCATTATTGGAGCCAATCTTATCAATTTATTCTCGTTTTTAATTCCATAGTCAAAAACGTGCATATCTAATCCATATCACACCATATAAAGTCGGTGGATTTCAGATGTCCAAGGTTTCATTACACATAACATCGACACCACATTTGCCTCGGCCAAATTAAAGCTTATCATATGCTATTTTCATAGTAAGTATTGCTAATACTATCTTGTAAGTTGTATCGTCTGTCATTTCGCTGATGTGCCAATCTAGTTTATCTAGATTTTTTTCTGCACCATTCTTTCGATTTTGTACGCTACTGTTTTATCAAATTATTCCTCATTTTATATTCTATGAATTCAGTATTGCCACATTTGATGCTGTTATCACTTACCATCAGAATATGTAATTCTAGATTATATATCGGAAATAGACGCGATAAATATCGGGGTCGTATCGTTACCACAAGCACGATAGCGATAAGTTGAAAATATCATCGCTGCCACAACCGAAACTGTCAAGGTAATCTTGTATCTCACTATATACATCACCTTGTGCTAATATCTGTACAAATACTAAAAATTTATAGTAATCTGTGGCACATATACAAATATAGACAAATCATTAAAAATAATAAAGCATTTTATGACAGCTATCTTGGTAAATAAGGGGTAGTTTATCATCAAATGACTTTCAAAAGGGTTTCAGACGTACCGTCATAATTGTTTATTTGTAATCATTATTATTTTTTTAATCATCATCATCATCACCACCACCACCACCATAATCATTATCAGCATCATCATCATCATCACCACCACCACCACCACCATCATCATCGTCACCATCATCATCATCATCATCATCATCATCGTCTCCATCACCATTATTATTATTATTATTATTATTATTATTATTATTATTATTATTATTTGAAAAGGGGAGTGAAATACTAGTATCTCCAACACTCCTTTACACTTAGCTTAATCAATATTTAAGTATCGGAAAGAACCAGAATAAAATATAACAATTACGGCAAACTCTAAACCAAGTTCTGCTTTTACCATTCAAAAAGTATTTGTTTGAAAAAACAATTAAAGAACATATCGGAATACATAACCTGTTCATGATTCGTCCAATGGGAGTGGTATCGAAAAACGACATCGGTGAGTGGAGGATACTACTTAACATGGAGTCGTGGAGTTTACCCGAGGCTCGAACCATCCGCGTTAATGCCAGGTAGAAAGATATATAAACAAAAATGCCTGGAAAATATGTGTCATGATTAGGTTTTATTATAATAGTGTTTTGTATTTTTCCTTTGTATTATAATTAAAAAAGAAGTTAGGCAAGTATTTGGCTTTTGCGTTATATGACGCTTGATGTAAGCTGCAGAGCACATGGCAGTTCATTTACGAAAATATTACCTTTGTCAAAAGTCTTAATAACGTAATATAGCCCAAGTCCTTGCTTTGTTCAATCATAAAATTAAACTAATGAATTTGCATCAACTGTGTATATAGGCATTTTTAAATATACTTCACGATTCTCCAATGAAAATCGACGTTTCAAAAATGCAGTAAATGAGAAAAGACGTCATGATTCTCTAACGAAAATTAACGTTAAAAACGTGCCGTTAATAAAACATGACGATTCTCAAACGAAATTCGATGGTACAAAACGTGCAGTGAATAAAACGTGACGAATGACCAATGTGCTTGTGCCCTTCCTACGGCACTTTTTTACCAATTGATAACAGCAGTAAATCGTAGAATCTGCTCAAAAGTACTCATAAGAAATTTAATACCAAATACAGTAAAACGGTATTATCAAGAATGACTAAATCATTTCTTGTTTCCTATTACGTACCTTGTAAAACACCCTGTAGGGCAAAGCCAAGAAGATAGAATAGAAAAGTATCTTCGTACTCCTGGGACCCTGATAGGCTTGTGTTCAGTAAAATTGCATTCTCTGTCCAAAACGTGAGCCAAAAGTTGGAATATACATTCAACCCTATAAAATGATAACAATAGCACCACTTTTAAAATTGGACAATAGAAACAGAGAGTATTGTTTCTATCAAAGACAGGAATATACATGCAAAAGACGTTGGCATCCGGAATTCATTTAGTTGAAATCGAGATTTCATGAAGTTGAGATCGTGAATCCGTGAATCTTATATGTAGAAATCGTACATTCATAATATCAAAAAAAGTTTGAATTCATGACGTCAAAATTGTGAATTCATGAAGCTGAACTGATGAATTAATGAAGATGCAATCGTGAATTTATAAAGATGCAATTATTGTAAGATTTCTCCACTTTCTATTTATTTCATTAATCCTTTTTATTTACTTTTACACAATTCTTTAGACTTTATGTCAATACGTAATTAACTCTGTTAATAACATGCATATTTTATTCGTCAACCTATTGTTATTTGCATTCTTAGGTATTGCTACATTATAAATTACCTTGAAATAGTGACATCGTGACTACCACAGCTATAACGGCCGGCAAGCCCATGGCCCGTAGAAAATGAAGTAAAACGGCGGGATTTATCTGAAAACAACACAAACTTTAATAAACAACATCTAGCTAGATCCATGGCAAGATCAACAAATCATGCAACTTACTGATAACGCTTGTTAACTATAAAGCTATAAAAACTATAAAATAAAAAAACATATGGTGGCTGATTTGTGCCATTCGTGTTTTCGCCCTGTGACACCGCCAAGTGCAAAATCGAGAATTAACAAGTTTAAATGGCGGGTCGCGGAGCGAAAACACGCTAATTTAACCATTTTTTTTTTACTTTTCGCTGGGCGGAAACATGAATACCAAATAAAAAAACAAAGCGCACCGTATTGCAAAAAGTGCCGACTGACAATTATTACGGAAACAGCCGAAGTTTGCTTAACTCTTTGACGTTAAGATAAATGAAAAAAATAACTGAAAGTGACGAACTTACTCTTTATTACGTATTGACTGACGCCATTAGCATTTAAAGTTTAAGTGGCCGCTTATGTGCATGATGTGGAATTTAATATAAATGCACTTACTGTCCCTTCCTCTGAAGTCTCGTCTAAAGTCAGCCTGTTGCTATCTTGACCAGCTTGTTCTGATTTCTTTATTTCTGTCGACATTTTCTTACCGACTGACCTTCCACTCCTCTGTATAGAGATACTCGTTCTGTTAGATTTCTTGATTTTTCTATATCCTGATTGAGTTTTACCCTCTTCCTCTGACGTTATCCCACCATCAGATTTAAGATCTATTTCTGCCTGGATTTGTTGTCGTAGCTGAATAACTAAAATAAATATCGTTTGTTGTGACAATCATTTTATCTGTTACAAAACAAATCAGTATCGTGCAAATGACCGTGGAGTGAATTGAATTCCATGATCCATCACAACGAAAGTGACCTGCACAATCTTGGAATCAAACCCGGGTCGACCGGATCACTGTCCAACGGTCTACCTAAATAATGAGCTAACTGAACGGTTTCCATATGAATATCTTTGTTGATGGTGGTGTTAATAGTTTTCACTCCGGATTACGGCAGAAACCCACATTTAATTTACCAGAGCACAGTTCTGTCACCGCATCGTTCCTTGGCAGGCTGCCAAGCAGTTAACCAGTACTAGTTGCCTTCACTTTCGCATGGAACTGTTACTTCTGTACATACAAGAGCAGATGTACAGTACGAATGACCGTAGAAATTCGTAAGATTTCATGATCAATCACGACGAAAGTTACCTGCGCCGTTCGGGAATCGAACTCGGGTCGCCCTATTCACAGTCCAGCGCTCTACCTATTTAGCTAACCGGACGGCTTATGTTCAGTGTTGATATTTGTATGTTTTTTAATAAATATGGGAAATATGAATATTTCACTTTGGGGTGAGGTACATTCAATATTTACGTATTTTCTGAATATGATTATATCTTACTTACTTTTTCATTATTTTGGAATAACCTTTACAGTATAGAAAGTTTTTTATGACATCGTGATTTTTTTACTTATGTATATATTATAATGAAGCTCTGTATAACATTTTTCTATACTTTACTCAGTTCCATACATTGTGATATGACTTTTATCTCATTGATATATTTTATATCTTATCGAAAATCATATGATAATACATAATAATAATCCTACTTTCTGGATCCTCGTCATCGTCATCATTACACTCCTGTAAATATGTCTCTATGAATTCAGCAAAAGCGCCCCCATCATTCATAAGCTCACTGTACGAGCCGATCTCTACTATTTTACCATCTCTCATCACAATGATACGGTCCATCATCGGCAACCAGTGAACCCCGTGCGTCACAAGTAACCGTGTCTAAAAAGTTTGAAACAAAAAATACACATTGCGTCGCAATGTATTATCTAGCCATTTCGTGTTTTATATACATATTTCATACTTTTAATATAACAAAATTCTCTGTTGTTAAAGCTGATTACATTGTTTCAAAAAGTTTTCTTGCATTGTTTGTTTATATGATTGCATCTTCTTTCACATTCGTTGTCATTTCAGCTAGACTCTAACTAAACTTGTGCAAGAAATATTTCAAAGCTACATATATACTCCATTTAAAAATTGTCCTTGACTAGTTTATCTTAAGTCTGTATGAAATGAAACTCATTTAAGAAAATAACTATAAATATATAATTTGAACCACAAAAAATGCTTCTGTCTTGACACGCAAGCTCCCACATGATTTGTTTTGTTGCGATCAACTTAGCATAGCAAAATCAAAAGTGAACAGCCACCGATACAATACTTAAATAATTATGTTATGATTGCCAAAATTATTCCGCACGATAAAAACACTCTCTTATTTTTGTTTATCCATCTTCCCCCTTTTCCTATGCACTCGACGAGACGAATATGAAAACATGCGCCAAATATATACTTATATATATCTATATATATATATAAACATTTTAATAAAATCGTGTGTATTGAAAGCATATAACACACTAATATACATTGTCCTATAGAAGCGCGAAAATATGACTTTTAAGAAATTATTGGTGTACAAATATTCGCGCTAAACATGAATTCGCGGATCGAATGTCACCGCGAAGATCGCGAAAATTTGAAGCCCGCGAATATTTCTACACATACAGTATTTGACGCAGATGGTAACAAAATGGTCGCAACAAACTTCAAATGCAATACCTTGTTCTTCAGTAAGCCTTCGTTCCCGATGACCTTTTGGAACAAATGCTTGCCTACGTGCGAGTCTACGGCACTGAGTGGGTCGTCCAGGAAGTATATGTCGGCGTTGTTATATACAGATCGAGCAAGATTCACCCTTTGTTTCTGTCCGCCACTTATGTTAATTCCCTGTTTTCATTACATACATTGACTTATGATTAATTCGTCGATTACTTATGGAAAAATAATATAAAAGCTATGGGGCAAATTGAGACAAAAATGACAAAAATAACAGAGGAAGAAATATGGTTCCTTGTAGTACATGTATGTCAAACTGATTAGAAATGTACTACAAAATGGAACTAACATGAAATGAAATGAAACAAAATAAATTGAAATTTAAGCGCAATGATCGCAATTTATACGTAAGAGTTTAATCACATGTATTTGAGTTTATCGGAAGCAAATTAAATATTTATATTTAATATACATGTTTTTGTTGTTATTGTTTTCTTCATTTTTTATGTTTATATCCGTATTAATGCATGGCAAGTATGAAACTGTTATCCTATGCAATGTTATCTATTAGGAAATTTACTTTTGAAAAGAACTTTCTCAATAAAAGTTGTCCTCTGGTACTTTATCGTATTCTATTGCTTCGAAAAACAGAACTAATACGTAATACATTACGTTCAAGGAACGATTGAAATTTGTTCGTTTTAATGTTGTTGAGGTTTAATTATGATTGAAATGGACATTGTAACAGTATGCGAAAACTAAAAAGAATCAATTTTACCTTTTCTCCAATTTCGGTCATATCTCCGCCTGTGAGTATTTGGAGATCCGGAAGTAGCGCGCATTTCTCAATGACAGTTCTATATTTAGATTCCTGATAGTCCCGCCCAAACAGGATGTTGTCTCGAAGTGTCATGTTCTGTATCCACGCCTCCTGAGGTACATACGCTACCGAACCCTGCATGCGATATAGCAAACTTTTAATAATACAAAATGAAATACGTGATCAAAATTTCGATTTCCGAAAAAAAAAAATCCCCAAAACAACAAGAACAACAACAACAAAAACCAGTTCGATTCGTACTTCTATGTAAAATTATTCCAAGATGGTACCTTGCCTGGTACGGAAGATAAGTAGTTGAAACCAAGAACCATCTCTTGTAGGATGTAATAAAAGCGCTATAAAATTGCCTCAAGACAGGCTTAAAAAAACGTTAAGTCGCCATATATTAAAAATAAAAATAACGAGAATTTAAAACCCTTACATCAAATTTAATGACATCTGTTAGACCGCCTGTTTAACGTTTAACGTTTTACGATAGGCCCATGTATTATTTATAAGTTGCCTTCCTGTTGTTTTTTTTCAATGGAATTGCATACCAACAGGGTTTTTTTTCACACATATAAAATAGCACCCTTTTCAATGACGGTTTCAATAGTTAAACACACATACGAGAGATATAGATTCACATTCCTTGTATGCATACACTCGTAGTTTTGCTCCTCTTTAACATCTCACTATATTTAAATGGTAAATTGGCCATAATCAAGAGGATTATAAATAATCAGTAAAATAATCTCATTTGGCAGAGGTGTGGTAACACCAGTACCATGGCAACATTAAAACTTACATTTAGACTTATATCACCAGAAATAGTTTCCATTTCTCCCATACACGCTGCTAGTAGTGAGGACTTTCCTGAACCGACAGGGCCAACCACTGCTATAAGCTCTCCTTTCTTGATTTGCAAGTCAATGCTACAACAATATATAGATAAACTAGAAATGTGTCATCATGCCACGGATGCCCCCGCATGCAGCCAAAATTTCAGATGTTATTATATTTAGTTCCAAATTTGTTTGCACAAATTATTGTTTTCATTTTAAGTTCAAAGCCCTTAAAACTTTTCAATGTTAACACAAACCATTTTCATACAATGTTCAAGGCACTGAAATTATTCAGTCTTATCCTTTTGAAAATAGCATATTTCATATTTGTAGCCAAAATAATGGCTACATACATTTCCACAAAAGTATGAGTGTTGAAACTGAAAGTTCAAAATTTTTTCCAATATTCAAGAAAGATAAGTTTGTCCAAAATCATTGAACCACGACCTAATTCAAACTTAAACTGCCTATTCCTAAGATGTATCTATATTATTTTCAAAGTGAAAGGGACATAACTCTGCCAAAAATTCATCGAACCATGACCAAATTCGAACTTGACCTTGGCATTCCAAAAAAATATCCATATGTCAAATTTGAGTTGAATGTGTTGTACTGTTGGGGAGATAATAAACAGAAACTGAAAATTTCATATTATTTTCAAAGTAAAAGGAGCATAACTCTGCCAAAAATCGTCGAATCATGACCAAATTCGAACTAGACCTGTATTTTCTCATGACATATCCATATGTCAAATTTGAGTTGAATGTGTTGTACCGTTGGGGAGATAATGAACGGAAACTGAAAATTTCATATTATTTTCAAAGTAAAGGGGCATAACTCTGCCAAAAATCATCGAATCATGACCAAATTCGAACTAGACCTGTATTTTCTCATGACATATCCATATATCAAATTTGAGTTGAATGTGTTGTACGGTTAGGGAGATAATGAACGGAAACTGAAAATTTCATATTATTTTCAAAGTAAAAGGGGCATAACTCTGCCAAAAAATCGTTGAACCATGACCAAATTCGAACTTGACCTGTATTTTCTAATGATATATCCATATGTCAAATTTGAGTTGAATATGTGCAACCGTTTCTAAGATAATGAACGGAAACTGATGATGACGGAATGACAGAATGACGGAATGACGGAAGGACGGAATGACGGAAGGACGGAATGACGGAAGGACGGAAGGACGGAACAGGGTAACACTATATGCCCCGGCCATTACATGGCGGGGGCATAAAAATCTAATCATTCTATCGTATAATATCATATAATAAAACAATGTTCAAAAAATTGTTTTAATAAATTTTACAAACAGTAAAAGAAAAATATATTTTTTCAAAGATGTTTCAGATAGTCTGTCTGTTGTTTTTAGTAACATATCAACTAGGTCTTATTTAAGATATATTGTTTTGACTTTGGACATAAATTATTATGCAATGTCTCAGGTTTTGATGAATCAAGTTAGAACCATTTTAAAGTTATAATTAAATTGTTAACGAATAAGCTTAATAAAAGTAAATGATAAAGATGAATTAATGAAGAATTATTAAAAATTGTACCGTTCTGCACTATTTTTGTGGAATGTCTAAGGTTTTAATGAATCAGTTAGTACCGTTTTTGAATATTATTAATTGTTAGTTAACGAATAAGCTTTAATATACAATATAACATACCCATTCAATGTCGCCAAAGGTGTGCTTCTGTCCCACGTGAAGGTTCCACGTTTCACACTTACAGCATATTTACTTGCTGAAAAATAAATAATATATAACAACTTCTACATCTCAGCAATTTGAAACAAATACGTTATGTATGTTCTTCAAGTTATAAAATATTTCCTTAGTTAATACAGTTACCATCTTTTGTCATTGTTTTGGACCTTCTTGGCCGAGTGGTTAAGGTCGTCTGCTTCAACTCACTTACTCCTCATCGCTGTGAGTTCAATTCTTGCAAGTGACATTGAATTTAATCATGTGAGGAAGTTATCCAGTTTGCTTACCGAACGTCAGTGGTTCTACTCAGGTACCTGCTCATGCCTGAAATAAAGCATGAAAGGGCATCTTTGGACTTCCTCAACCAGTAAGGATTGACAATTGCCATGATGGCCTTTATTACAGTGTCTCAAACAAACAAATAAAACAAACAAACAATCAATACAAAGAAACAATCGTCATTGTCACAACAACTTATCCTCAACATTTTGAATAATTCGCTCCAATAGTATGTCCAGTATATACAGTTTGAACTATGATTTATGATAAATAGACCAATTAAAAAGTATTCAGCAGTAATTTTCTTTTTTCCACTATCTAAAAATGTCTTATACGTCAAATAGCGACACCAATGCTGAAACATATGTTTGCCTATGTGTAAATTAACAAAAGTGCTTACAATTTTTATCCTCAATATGGATAGAATTTTGTTGCAGATCTTCCTGACAAAGAAATTCCGTTATTCGTTTGATTGAAACGCTTGCCTGAAAATGTAAATCGTGTTAAAAGGTGTATATGTAAACTCATAACACTGCATGCCAGTACTGTCGTTTTTACTGGACAATATTATCATAACGTTTTTTTTAAACATTATTTATTTAAGCTCCGTTGTAAAGAAGATTTTATTTGTTTTAACTAGTCTTGAGTTTAGTCCGCAACTTGGAACAAACCAGTACTGGTGCCAAATGAGAAAATGAGGGCTCGTACCTTACGATCCATTGGTTCAAGGGCAGACACCACTAAGCAACCGCTTCTTTAAAAACGGGTTTTTTTATATTTTACTCGGCAGCAGACAACAAATAAACCTAATAATTTATTTTCATTTTTTATCAAAGAAAGAAATTTGGCAGTATATAAAGTTCGTTATCAAGACATTTTATATATTATATGGCAGTTAATACATGGCATACAGTTATTTAAGGAGTTCCTGTAAATTACCTGTACGCATCCGTTTACTAGAAATGGACATATAGTTATTGGGAACTTAATGATGTTAATTAATGAAATCGCCGTGAATGTTTCCTCCGCCCTCAGAGTGTGAGTTGGTGAGTCGAGCACGTGGATTAACACAAGTGTGAACAAAATCTGAAAACAATATAAATAAACTATCAATCATTCTTACTTTATCATAATGTTTCTACACCGTTATATAGGAAGTTATTTATAAGTTATTGCGGCATATTCTAACGCTTTGGGGATAGCTTAAACTTAAGACTTACTCAAAATCACCTTATTTGTTCACTTGAACACTTTTTTCATTTTCATAAAGATTATTCGTTTAAATCTGGAGCCTTGCTGATTTCCTCATTAACTTACCGAAACCGGAAGTAATTACCCTTTGCAATCAGTATAGAGCTTTGTCAGCAAGCGTGCATATCTTTCATTCTTAACAGACTCTACACTGTTAGTAGCTTACTTTTTTATATTTTGATATTTGAATCATTTAAGTTTCATATCCACTGTTCCAAATTCAAAGCATTGCAAATCCATTACACAACTTCAGGAGGTTGTGGTTATTCTAGTACCGTGAAAGAACTGGGTATAGCAAACACGATTTTTTTCGTTGTTAGATGGGCAGAATTATACTACCATAAAAGGACTGTGTATAGCAAAAACGACTGTTGCCGTTGTTACACAAACATAACTATACTACCATAAAAAGACTGTGTATAGCAAATACGACTGTCGTTGTTACACAAACATAACTATACTACCATAAAAGGACTGTGTATAGCAAATACGACTGTTGTTGTTACACAAACATAACTATACTACCATAAAAGGACTGTGTATAGCAAACACGACTGTTGTCGTTGTTACACAAACATAACTATACTACCATAAAAGGACTGTGTATAGCAAAAACGACTGTTGTCGTTGTTACACAAACATAATTATACTACCATAAAAGGACTGTGAATAGCAAACACGACTGTTGTGGTTGTTAGGCGAGCATAATGCATCAATCTGTCAAGCTCCTGGTTTCTTATGTTCTGTATTTTCTTCATGAACGACAATTCCCACGCATACATCTTTAATACCTAAAATACAAATTGTAAATATCAAAGTTTACAGCGGATAAATTATAAAATCAAAAATTCGCATTGCAGTGACTTGGGTGTTAGGTTGCTTTTTTAAAATCAATATATGTGCTTAAAAAGCTGGCTTAAATATACATATAGATCTTGAACTTAATATGTATCCTTATTTGGGGGTCCAGTTATTGTAGTATTTTGTATTGTTGTACCTACATTTTATGCAGAAGTACGTTGGTCTAATTGTAAATCAACAATTGTCATGTACCAAAGTGGATGAGCCAAATATGGCAAAAATAAGATTCATATAGCAATAGAAACAAAAACTAATAAGTTTGCTCAACAATGGTTTAAACATTTTGAAAAAGGGGATTTCCATCCGGATCAGTTGACAAAAAAGAATATGTCCAAATCTCAAAGGCGGTTGGATGGAGCCTGTTCAAGAAAGAGGACCTGGAAAGTGACATAGATCTCATAGATGCCCCTTGCGACATTTCTTTTTTTTTTTCGGGCTTCGTTGCTGCTTGTTTATCTATTGCTGTTGGTGATTTTCCTTTTTTATTTTTCACCACTTTTTTCAGCATATCTGTCAATCTCATTATCACGGGGGAGGAACTGTTACACGAGGGATGGAGTTCTTATGATAAGTTGTCAGGAGTTCTTGTGATAACTGCCACAGAGTTCGTCGGAAAACTTTTGTATATTATACAAAAACACTCGTCAAAAATGGTAAGTTTTATCTTTTAAAAGTGAGTTTTAGGTGCTAAATTAAACTTTAATCATAAAGTTTGCATTACATCTTGTATTATGAAAATATAAAAGTTTTCCGACGAACTCTGTGACAGTTATCACAAGAACTCCTGACAAGTTGTCATAAGAACTCCATACTCCGTGTAACAGTTCCTCCACGGTGAATATTCAATCGATTTTAATTTTAAGTCCATGAATAAGAGAAAACATTGTGATAAATCTACCTTTATCCCACTAATGACCTCATTCAATATTTTGATTCTTTTTCCCTTCAGGTATAACATTTCTTTTTGTAGTTTGAATTGTACTGTCGCAAGATAACCGACCAGTGGTAACATCAACAATATTATCCCTATGCCACCGACACTGGCAATACCTTGGAATTTCAAAATAACATGTAATTTTCATAAAGTCAAACGTGATAAAGCTATGAAATACAAGGTATGATAATAAACGAAATACAAATGCAAATGTAGTGGTAACTAGTTTCAATTTCGTGGAACAAACAATGTGCCTAACTGTACTTATTGCCGAAAATCAACAGATGAAAAAGATGGTCCCGGTAATATTCCAATTAGTTACTTATTATATACTATAAAAGTTCACCAAAATGAAAAGCTTTTGAGAAATAAAACAAAAAAATTATGTTGCTTTCAAACAATCAAATACAAGCTTTAGAAGACGAAATTAAGGATAAACGATTTTAAAAACGTTACCCATAATCCACCATTGACAAGGCTATACCCAAACGTGAAATTGTTACCAGGGGATCCAAACGAGAACGTTAACGAAGTCTGAAACTCTCTGACATCTACGGACATCAGATTTACAATTTCTCCAACAGTTGACGACTGATTGCCATTCCTTTTCATTGTCAGCGCCTGGTGGAAATAGAACAGCAATTATCAATATTTAAATTAGAGCACCGCATGCGGTTATAACGCTCGACTGTTATAATAACCACTTTTGGCGGAATATCTAAGTTAAAAAGGGTCGTAACTCTAATATAATAGCTTTCAGAATTATGCCCCTTGTCTAACAACTGCACCTTGTAAAGATAACAAATATTCCAAGTTTCATGTTTTCACGACGACAACGACTGATAAAAAATCTTTTACATATTGGTGCTATAATAATATTTTGCTGCATATGTAAAAAAAATATTTGAAAATTCACGTAAATAAGATGTTATATTGATTTGATTTTTTAAATATTTTGTCAATTATATTATATAGCAAATGGCTGCAACTTTTGGCAAGGGAGGTAAATATTGCAAAAATCGGGAACTATCCATATGAAAATGAAAATGTGCGTACCTTTTTGTATATGAGGCACATTAGCGCCGTTTTTACTTTCAGACCAACACCTTGGACATGATGGTAGGATAGATGGTAGAAACAAGAGCTAATACATAACGTCACAAACAACATACAACAGAAGAAGTAACCTTGCCATTCCGGTGCCGAACTCTTGTCTTCCGCTATTGTAATGATAAATCTGAAATCACACATTTATACAAGAATGCTTTCATCGTTTTGCGATTTTAGCTATATAATATACAGTTATCATATTGTGAAACTATAAAAAATATTATATTATTTTAATACGAAAACACTTGGCAGATATTTTATAGCTACATCTTGAATGATATTTTGATATTTTCAAAACTAACTGAGTATACCAACCTAGTACCTAGTGTTGCTTTTCGTGTACGTGTGGGAGCGGTTGGGTGACTGGGGTTAAGGGTTAACTACTTCTATGGGCGCAATTTCGGCCATATTTTGATATAGATTTATATGGTTGCTGATTCAACATATTGGACTGTTTTGGGCATTATTATGGATAAAAATGTAAGAAAAAAAACGCAGTATTTTATAATATATTTTCTAGCAAATATTTTTCACAAAAAACCCCACAATTTTTTTAAAGAAATAAATTTTATCAAACAAATGGGGCCTTCCTTGTTTTTTAAATTTAAAATTTTATGACCATAAAACGTGGGTATATTTAAAAAAAATTTTTTAAAACACCCCATAAAAATATTTGCAGAAACTTTTTTTCCTACCTGGGGTCCCAAATAGGTTAAAACCCAACCAAAGCCCCCTCTCCCCATTGTCGGATAAAGTTCTTTGTCCACCCCAACCAAAACACCAAAACCCAACCCCCAAAAAATTTTTTTGGGCCTTTTGCTCCCATCTCAAAACAATGAATACGAATATACAAAGTAATTTTTCTTTTTAAAAAAAAACGGACTCTTATATATTTATGAGAAAATAGCAAAGGGTTTTTGAAGAAATTTGTTAAATCGATTTAATTGAAAACAAATATGAGTGCTACAGTGATATAAAGACACAATGTAGAATGAACACTGTATAATAGTATTAATTCAAACTTTGTATGGTTTAAGAATATGATAACAGAAACATTAAGAGGGAAAAGAAATGAAATATAATTCATTTTACTGCAAATCAATAACATATATCGTTATACATAAATATTAATTTTAATTTTATCTAGTGAAGATATAATTTATGCCATGTCGTATTGTAGTTATTTTGTCGCACTTTCTTGTTTTCACCCGGCCAAGGAATTACTTCGTCGTGTTTTCGTGTTTTTGGCTGGCGCCCCGCGGAGCGAAAGTACGAGACAAATTTTTCATTTTGTCGTAGTCTCAGGTTTTTATGGAAGCCTTGGAGGGTCACTTTTGAGTTTCGACTTATAGATTTATTTTACTATTTTCTTTACATCGCAAAACCAACACGACGCGCTATTACGGACTTTTTGATTTTATGACTTCTTTGATTTTATGGCCTTTTGAATTTTTGGACTTTGGATTTTGTTTAACTGTCCCACGTGCCTCGATTAAATTTCCAAAGGAAAATCCGGCAGAATTATCATGACAACGATTCAGACGAGGTAAGTTCATTTACCTAAGTTTCTTGGAGACTTATTTAAAAAACAAAATATGTGGGTACATATGCAAGGACAGATGTTATTCTTATATAAGCCCTTTTAATTGATTAAGAAAAGAAAATATTTTGCTTGCATTGCATTGCATTTGGTATCCATTTTTTTATTTTGATTTCCGGAACAGGGATATATAATCTCAAATTGACATACAGCGTATGAAATCAAACGCTTTATTTTTTATGTAGGTTCCAGTTTTAAATCCAAATCAGTCTCACATTGTTGTTTGCTACAGTTTCAATCGGTTTCCACCCGTAGTTCATTCTTCGTCCATCTTTATATTGAATAGAGACCAAATTATAGGCCTTATTTTGACAAAGAAATTTGTAATTAAGAAGTTTCATGAAACATGGTATTTCAAAAACAATAAATCATACAGCTTTGAAACTTCACACACTTCAGACACTTAAGTAATAAATCTCTGAATTGCATTGTTATCAAAGTATGCCTCTTTTTTCGACTTTGAATTTGTTGTTTAGAATTTTCATGAAAAATGGTTTCGCAAAACTATTTTTAGCGATTCCTTTGAAACTTAAAACACATTTTAAGTGTTGACATCTAAGGTCAATGACCAAGTTTCGTATGAGTGGCTCACAATTTGACTTATGCCCATTTTTTAAAGCTAAAATGTTTTGTCAGAAGGTTTATGAAATATGGTCCCATAAACCAGTTATGATATAATATTGAAACTTTATTATTCACTTGTTCAATATCAATAACTTAGGACACCTACCAGAGTACAAAGTACATGTTATTTGTATATAAACTTTTGAAATACAGTTATGTATTAAGGGATTTTTTGTATTTCATTTTGTATATATAGGTATTTCATTTCAATTGAGATTACACATACTTTTAATGTTTTCAATTTAAATTCTAGTAAAGCTACCTGTAGGGATTAAGGACGTGCTGTCGAATGGTTTCAACTACAAAGCAGTTGCAAGAGCTTCAGCAATACATATTTGTCAAGTTTGCGGAGCCAGTTTAGAAGACTATGAGGTTTCATTGCAACACAGCGTTCGTTCCGAGTGGAAAGTAGTACAGTTTAGCAAATGCAAAAATGTGCAAACACTGGTGATTTGGTTTTCTTCGTTATTGTCTATGGAAATATTCAGACATTTTCGGAATACGAGGGTTAACCTTTTCACACTTTTTTCAGACGCTCGACAACCCCACCATTTATTATGACGCTTATTGGAAACACACAATGTCACGTCCCGCCACGTTTATTTTATATTGTCCATATCTCCAATATGGTAATAACTTGTATCGATAGACAGGTCACCGTGAGAGAAAGAAAGGTGTGAAAATTCATGAATTCACAATTCTGGCTTTCATAATTTTCAGTATTTGCCCATTATAAATTTTAAAAACTTATATGAAAGGTATCGAAATCAAACTTTGCATGTTCATATAGCTCGGCGAGGCAGAAAGAAAACATACTTCTTAGCTATCATAAATTTTAGAAAGTCTTGTTTTTTATTGTTTTTTTTTTTCATACTTAGATTTTGTTAAGCTCATAATTATCTCAAAAACTGTTGAAGGCATCAACTTGAATTTACTGGCAGATATATCTCGGCGAGACAGAGTGCATTGTATTGTTAACAAAACTTTTGATTATAAAATTAAATCGTTCTCCTAAGTTAAAAATTCCCTTTTTTGACATGGACATGCCGTGGATTGGGGGTATGCTCATTACGAAAAGACTATGAGATTTCCTTTACATATAAAATTGGTCATACTTCGAAAAAAAATGTGGACGTTATTTAAAGTTAACTAGGAAATCTTTGGCGAGAGACTGTGTTTGTTTTTTCTTTCTTTTGAACATGTAGAAATGAAAGAAATAACGCTCTGACAATGATTTTAAAAATCTTGACTTCAATAATAATACAAACACTCTAACGTTGCTAATTTACCTAATTTATCATATGTTTTCAAACGCTTTGTTAAAACACTCATGATTTTCTTAGTTTTTCATCAGTAACGTATCACAATGTGTTTGTTTTGTAGAAATATTGCATGCATATATGTCTTCTGTGACGTAAATACTTGAAGTTTTTGTTGATGGCAGTGTTCATTTTAAGCTGTTCCTTAGTGTTAGCTTTTAAGTAAGGCATATGTGCTATTTTAGGAAAAAATGCTAGCCTCTGTATTTCTTATCTCTCTTTTTTTAAATTAAATATAATGAAGCTCAAATGCAGTTTGTTTTTGCATATCTAATACATTTGTTTTCTTATAAGACAACAATTTTGTTAAACAAAATAAAGCACGGTTGTAGAATTAGAAATGTTGTTGTTATCTGTTTAAACGCATTTATTCCAAAAAATTATTGATAGCTCTGCCAACCTGTCACGGTCTAGACCGTGAGGTTAAAAAAAAACTTTGGTAACGTGGTCTCTCGGTAGAGGTTATTTAGGTGGTCTGTTGAGGGAATTGGCTGGTTCCACACAGTTTACTTCTATAGTGATTGATATTCTATTTCTACTTTGCTCATTTTAACCTCTTACATATAATTTTAATGGAACATTGACTCTACATAAATAAATAAATTCTCTGTAACATTTAAATACTGTTTATTCTGATAGTAAATTGCAAGTTTATTTTGGTTATAACAAAGTTACAATAACACAATAATAAATTGTAAACAAATGAGGACAATGTATTTTTATCATTCATGACCAGATTAAATATGCATTTTTCTACTTACAACATTGGAAAATTGATATCTCGCTCGACCTTCGGTCTTGCGAGATATCATTTTTCCACCGCTGCTCGTAGCAATATACAAAGCCTTAAAAAGCTACTACTACATAATATTCCGTTTATATTCTTCTTTAATTTAATGTATTATAATGCCTAACGCTTGTTCCCTCTTTAATAGTGAACACGGAAAAATAGCGTACCAGTCAACCGTGACTAAATTCAACAAAGAATTAAATAATCTATTTCAAGATGTAAAATGTTAATGAAAAAATTGTAATAAAGCTACACATCTAGAAAATAGCTCAGAACTTGTTTAATCTGAATAAAAAAATCTTATTTATCAATAACAGTTTATTTACTTTTATACTTAATGCTGCAGACGGCACTTATGAATGAATGTTCCGAATTAAACCTTCTATACATATGATTTTACAAAAACAATTGATGTTGATTCTTCACGTAAAAAAGATCAACTATCATATGATAAAATCATATGAATGCAATAATTCTAATGCAAAAATGAGGCTAGTGGCTTAATGTACTTGTAAACATTATATGACTTCAACACCACTCTCGGCTGTTGTGCTCCCTTGCGTGTGGTGACTGTATCACAAATTTGCTTATTTTGCACTAATCTAAAATCAAGTTAAACTAATGTTTATACCAAGGCAAAGAGTAACAGCAAATGACAAAAGTTATAAGTCAAAAGTCAAAAGATAAAAGTCATAAGTAAAAGTGATAAATTATAAGTGAATAGTCACAAGGCAAAATTTAATAAAAAACGAGAAAAATTTATTACAAAGATCAACTATTATTTTTGAAATAACAATCATATATATTCCTTTTACATATAGTTTACCATAATACATTCTATAAAGTATGGTTGCTATTTGTTGCGAATGAATAAGACGTTTAAATCTAATTACACATACTTGAAATTACACATATCACTTATATGTCACGGTACGAATCTATTCAGTAGATGATGTGCACTCTCGGTCGGGACAGAACTAGCCCTGTAAGGGGTTGCGGGTTCAAATCCCGGTATGGCTGCATATCATTTTCCCCCTGTGGCAATTTGGTATAGTGGAAAGTGTCCCTGCCAGTCACGCGGGAGACCGAGGTTCTATTCCTAGCCGGGCAGCCTTTTTGTAACCAGGGCTTGATATAGAACAGATACAGGTTGTGGGTTTGAAACCCATAGGAGCCAACATTTTTTTTTCTTCGTTTTTTTCTGTTAACAGTATTTTTGTATTTTTTCTACCTATATTTAGATTTAGATGGAAAAATATGCTCGTTTTCTATTATTATCATTTTTTACAGATATTCATTGCCTAATTAATGCTAAATATAAGAGCAAATACGACATTTTAACATTTTCAATGCTTTATATATTACAAAACAAGCCGGTAAAAGCCTTCCATATTTCTCAGAATGAATCAATATATACTTCTAGAGAGATTATAGCAAACTTTGATACAAGCCCTTTGACAAATGTAATTTCAGTGATTTTTCTAAATTTAGAATGATATGATAGAAATTGTTTCAAATGGGTGGGGTAGAGAAACATTTCCATGCATATTTCTATCGTGTCGAGAAAAGTCATGCATTTAACATGCATAGTTCATTACGAGAATGTTATTTTTTTGCATCTAAACAAACAAAAACTTGCAAAACATGTTAAATAAGAAGATATTTTTTTAGACTTTCAATACATGTATTTCTTTTTAAAAGCCTTTTTGATGTATATGTTCTGACTCATAATAATGCCTACAACTCCAAATCCGTACAGTAAATTTTGCTTAAATTTTGCATACATGTGTCCTTTAGGTATACCACTTAACAATGTTGTCAATTTTACAATCCCTTATAGTGCAAATTAGAGTGGTTATAACTTAAATGATAATTTACAAATATATTGTAATTTGCTCAATATTTACAAACCAATATCTTCAAACAACCATAAAATGAAGTGAAATCGTTAGACTATCGTCTTTATGACTTTAAAACATCATTTTTTGAAACTTAACCTATAGTAATCTAGTATATATCAATAACACAAAAAAATAAAAATTAGCCGTTTCAAAGCGTATTTATATTAAATCTACTCTCAAAATTAAATCGTTCAACTCGGTACACAGTTGTAGTGCTGAACGGCATCCAATGGCATCTGTAGATCTGGCTTCAGAAGGGGTGCTAATTCTACGAATTCCTCACATTGTCTTTTTGGGCGTGAATACATGTTCTTTGCAAATATATACGTCTCTCAAGTTAACTGCATTGGCCGAAGTCGTGAGTTTCATACAGACCTGGTGCAAAAAACAGTGTTTCAGGTTTACCATAAATAACAGAAGGTATGTTGCCTTATTTCATGTGCAATCCGGTCTAACTCGGTTTGTATGAGGTCCATAAAGCAAAATTTTAAGTTATCACATTGTATCTGGTCCAGATCATTAAATGCACATGTATCGCGTAAGTCTTTGAAAAAAATTAATCCAACAATGGATTTCATTTTGTCGTAATGTACACCACCACTTCTCAATGCGTTGGTTAGATGTGCTTTTTCCAAATTGGGTGGGGGGACTTGGTATTGTTCATTAAAGGTGTCAAAAAGTATCTTGCAATAAGGCGTGGGTCGTTATTTGAGTCCGAAACCTCTAACCATATTATTTTTCTACTATACCTATTCACAGCATGTTTATGGTTTACATTTGTCTCAACTGTCCAATATGTCATATAAAACTGGCCCTTTGGCGTAGTATACGCGTCGGCATAAGCGATAAGCTTTCCGCATCTCAATATCAACTGGATCAAGCGCTCTCATTATTTCCATGACGTCGTCCCCCTTGAGGTACATGTGGTAATCCAGCATTAACCTACGCCACATTGTGCGGTATCCTATGCATTGTCCATTTGTTTGTATTTCTCAGTTTATAAGATTAGACACAGACTCAAATGGAGTATATATTCCATTACGCCGTTTTAAATTTAAGCGTTTAAAAATTTCTATTCACTGTACTTGTATCTTGGCACGGTAGCTTTGGTAATGCCCGAACAGTATAATAATGAAGACACAGATCAACATCAAGGTTTTCATCCTCGTTACCTTTTGTCCAGTAGTTGTGTCTGAAATAAGAGTTTATCTTTTATTTTATTAAATCTTTATACATTCATAGTATATAAAATGGGTAAATCTTCTAGCTCTGTCTTTTAAAGATTGATAGGTACGAAAAAAATAACATTTAAAATGATAGTAGGATATTTTACTCTAACTTGTCCTATATCTATGTTTGTTCTTAAGTGTTTTTTTCTCAATTGTTAAAATATACAACAAAATTAGACATTGATGCTAAATGCAAATGTGCCTCGATCACAATTATAACTTTGTACTTGTGTGTATGAACATAGCACTTGCTGTTCATTATGAAATTGGTTAACACTATCTAAGTACTTCAAAGAAGTACTAATTCTGTGTTAGCTAAATAAAATGCTGAATTGCGATACATGTTTAATACTATGCACCATGCCATTTTAAGACGTAAAACTTGTATTCCCTGTCTACTTGTAAAACAGTTATTTGTTTGTTACTCATGGACAGATTTTGTGATGAGGACAAAAATGTGTAAGCACTAATATAATGAACATATTTAGAACAAAGCAGATTGCAGAAAACACACAGTCACACTTGTAGAATTAAAGTCTGATATATTACCACTATGGGATTATATCAAATAACATTAATTCCCTCCTTAACACATCATCTCCTCCATGACAAATCTCAATGAAATTATTTAAAACGTTTAAAAAACATACCTGAAACCAAAGTTGCTGCTTTCAGCTTCTAAAAAACGTGTAAAATGGGTTAGCCATAAGTCATAAGACATAAGTCACAAATCAAAAGTCACAAATCAAAAGTCGAAAGTCAAAAGTAAACATCCGTAAGTCGAAACTCAAAAGTGACCCTCCAAGGCTTCCATAGGTTTTCGCCTGACAAAGCACTTTGTAGTATGTTTTTGTGTTTTCGCCTGGCGCCCGGCAGAGCGAAAGTGCGACAAAGTGGTTACTTTGTCGTATTTTCGTGTGTTGGCCTGGTGTCCTACGGCATGGCACAAATCAGCAACCATATATAAAAGTTAAAACCTTGTTTTTGTCGTGCGGTTACACCATTGAGGATGGGTGATTTTTCTGAAAAATGAGTTCTTTCTTTCTTTGCTGTATAGGCAACGGAAGTGTCGAGGAGTTTGTTCCCTGAATCACGGCCTCGTCTGAAACAAAAATAACATATATTACTAATAGACATATTCAAACTAGATCTACAATGGGGATATCAATGCTGCAGGGTTAAGAAAAAATGTATAAACTATAAATACAATAAATTTAATTTCGTTATAAATCATATTTCTAAATTCATTGTCCATAAAATATTTTACATTGTATAATATTTCGAATATATCTGTGTAAAATCCGCTAAATATACAGTAATAAATTATATGTAAGGAAAAGGCCTTAATCAGCATGGTATGCTTTCGGACCTGATTCTTTTTCATCACTTTATATTATGTACAAATGTATGTAATCATTATATTAAAATATTTTTTGTGTAAATGCATGTAATGGATGAATAAAAAGTGTTTAAACTAAACAAAATACATTTATTACTGAATATATTATTTATAAAAGTCCCATTAATTTATGTATGTAAAAAAGTCACATTAATTTTTGCATGTAAACACTCGTATAACTATGCATATGTAACTGTGTATCGGTGATCTTTAAATTTTCCAAGTAATTACATTTTCTGTTCTATTCTGTAACATTACCTTATTTTGTTGCATTTATCTACTTCAATTTTCCAAGCCTCTTCCATCAGTGGTGCCAGTGTGTCACATTTAAACCGAGGAGATTGAGACCAAAAATGTTCAGGAACAAATCGTTTCTTGTGTACGTTCCATACAATACTGTAAACAAAATGACTCAAAATATGGGATTATTAAATTATTAATATTATAATTAAAAGAGAACATCGCGTGGCGCACGTACAGTTTTATACTAAAGCTAAGACAATTATCCTTATCTATTCTGTGCGGTGCTAAATAAAGTGACAAGAGAGAAACATCACGTGGCGCACATGCAGTACTGCTAAGTCTAAGACATTTTAATATCATTGTTTATTTCATGAGTTGATAAATAAAATGTCAAAAATTTCATTAATAATAAGTTGATAACAGCAAGATCATTCCGTGAATACTTATTCTACCTACCATGTTAGTTTACGAAAATGTAAACTTTGCGACCTTAGGTCATTCCGTGAATACTTATTCTAACTATCATGTTAGTTTACAAAAATGTAAACTTTGCGACCTTAGATTAATAAGATGTTTTAACAACAAACTTTCAAACGTCTTTGTAAAGTCCTAAAAGCTTTACTTACGATGTGAACCAATGGTAAAGTATCCTATTTAGGACAGAAGCGTCCTCCTCCGCCCAAGTGTCCTAAAATATAAAAAAAAATATTGCTTAATAAGTCCGCAGTTACTTAAGCATATAGGAATAAACTTTTAAAACAGCTTTCCGTACTGTACACTTTTTTTTGTTCAGTCAAAAATATCATTACTTACTATGTATAATATTCACAAAGCTACTGTAGATGATCCGATTTAGGTGACCAACAAACTTTTGGCACCAGAGACCACGCATATGGTAAGGTTTCGACTAGAGTTAATTCGTGACGTCAATGTAGGCTTACCGCGTTGTCTAGACGAATTAGCTTAGTTGGCACCTGAGCCCTGCACAAATCAACATAGCAATCTCGCAAATCAATGAAAAGTAAGAAAAGTCTTTCTTTTTCTTCAAAAATTCAGTGGAATATCAAGTTACAAGTAAATACAGCAATCCATGTGAGTTGAGTAAAATTTAATTAAATGAATATGACATAAAAAACTAAGGGAAATAATAAAACATCCTTTAACATGGCAGGGTATACCTCGTCGTCCAAATTCTTGTATCCTCTAGGGCGGTTCAATTCGGCAAAACTATGCAAGACCAATTGTATTGCGATAAAAACGAAGTATATGTAGAAAACCGTATCTTCTTCACAGTAGCCCTTTGAAATAAATATACGTTATTTAGAAATACATGTAATTCGTAAAGACACGCTATTTTTTTTTCGTTGTCAAGTTGAGTTGAATTGACTATAAATTCCAAAAAGATTGTTTAAATGGTGAAGTAGCTTAATGTCACTTAAGTAAATACTTGTTCGTGTTAAGTCAAAGGTTTTTTTTAAAAGTCATGTTAATGCATATAATGAGTAATATTTTTTCAATCTTAATGAAAAAAAGGCAATGAAAGGTAAACACTTAACTATTGATATTCTTACATAGGAGCTTAAAAATAATATTAGCATTTTAATATACGAGCATAAATACAACATACAAACAGTTCCTGATAATCAAAAATGTATATTTATCAACACGAAATGGTCCGATTCAAACCCATATTGGTAAAGGATAGTGCAAGTGGTTTGGAACCATCGACCTTAGCCAATCGGCTTTTTAATTATTATTATTATTATTATTATTATTATTATTATTATTATCATTATTAATATTATCATTATTATTATTATTATTATTATTATTAATATTATCATTACAATTATCATTATTATCATCAGATTTACGGACAAAGCACAAATCGTAATATTTTGGCAGGTATACCGTTCTCATGGCGCGTGTATAGGTTGCCAGACCTTCCGTTAGTAACATCAAAAACCAGAAAACAAACGGCACTGCTGACGTTTTAACTCCCTTCCGTCGCTGATATTGTTGTAGAAGTATAGAAAGCCACTGAAGAAAATACACCAAAAAAATTGCATATTATATTTTCTAACTGTTGATTTTTTATGAAAACGAATAATTGTTTTCATGAACTGGTATCTTTATTTGATTTATTTGATTTGGTTTAACGTGACACCGACACAGTATATGTCATATGGCGACGTTCCAGATTTACTGGTGGAGGAAGACCTCATGTGCCATTCCGTACATTATTTGAGGCACGAACGGGCACCTGAGTAGGACCACCGACGTTTCGTAAGCTAGCTGAATAGCATCCTCACATGAAAGAATTCAAAGTCCCTGTCGGGATTCGAACCCACTGCGGTGAGGGGCAAGTGGTTTGAAGTCAACGACCTTAATCACTCGGCCACGGACGCCCCATGAACTGGTTCTTACAGCTTTTTACGTGAATTATAAAAATCTTTTAAAATAGTATTATAGCACCAATATATAAACTATTTTTATAAGTTTTCATGAAGATGACAGAATTATGAGAGAATTTTATTTTATCTTAAGCATTTTATATATTGCAAATGACCCCCAAAATGGCGGCCATGGGAGGTAATAATTTTTATTTGAAAAGCATTAAATTATGTACTTACAAAAGTAGAAAATTTGAGAGCAGTGGCGACATATCCCGCTGTGGTGATCTCAGATTCTGCCAGACATGCCGTACCATTATGCTCTTGTAAAATTAATATTACCATTGTCAGACAGCTTAATATGAATGAAACAACCTACAGGACAAAAACAAGAAAAAACACTGAACATACATTTAAAAATGACAATATCTGAAATTGTTTATGAATTAGCTGAAATAACGTCAGATTTAAAAAAGAAATCTGGAAGAAGGGTCACAACAAAATTACGTGAAAATTGCATGATAATAAAATAAGTGCAATACATGCATTCCTAACGCCCCCCACCCCCCCCCCCCCCACCGGCACCGGTACTCAATTTTCAACAGTGCTGAAATCAATGATCCCGAATGACCACCAAAATAGTGAAGTACGGGACAACTTTAAAGTCTCACTGTTTAAAGTCATAAAACACGAAGTAAATGAAGATACTGCTTTGCGGCTTCATGCTCTCTACTATTGTTTGCCCTGTTATCTGTTCGGTGTCCCTCTGCGTGCCTTTCCGATGATCCGTTGAGATTTGCAGTTGCCGTTATTCTATGAATGTGTATATACTGATTGATCCATTTGTTCATACTTATGTCGATCTGTTTGCACCCTCAATGCCGTTTTGTAAATGTGCGTGCACGGTTTTCTTTTATAAAGACAAGATCTACTGAAGTCTTTCGTTTTGAAAGACAAAATCTGGCGGACAACAAAGTGATATAAATGAAGTCAAGCAAGAAGTATCAGATTCACGATTTAGTAGAGCGTTGATGAATTTTTATTATTGTTCCCATTCTATATAAGTTATGTTCGTAAGAATTTGATTCTAAGAATGTATTGTCAGGACAGACGGTAATTAAAATCTACAGGCAGGCGTATTAGAAAGATATGGGTCGCCTACATACGTTTTTCATAGACTATTTTGAATTGGTATGAACAAAAATGTTAATAAACTGTGAAAACATTTTTTGTGTGTATTTGAAAATATTTACACTCGCCACTGGTCCGGTTGCCCAAATTGGCGAGTCCTCCAGAAGAGTATTAGTTATTTTAGACTTTAGAGGATAGTGCAAGATACAGCAGATACAAGAAAGATGTCCAGATGCCAGAAGTTTCTCCTGGGGTCCGTCTTATCAACGGTCGTACAACCGTTTTTATCGTACGATTGTCGTACACCGATCGTACGATTTTGTCGGTTTCTTATCAAACGTCGCAGATTTTCATAATCGTACGATTATCGTAAGATCGTACATTTTTGCTACGATCGCTGAGAAGCAGTCGTAGATCAAAAAAATGGCTGCCGTGCTTCCTGTAAATGCTACAAGGCCGTAGAAAAAGTAGGCCTTTCCGGCATCAAGTGCAACTATTGGATTGCCCGAGTGGTCATTTAGTTGTGGCCGACTATCAGCTTGGTAAATTTTCATTAAAGAAACCTATGATCTTAAGATCTTGATTAAGTTTCAACAACGCAGTCTGATCAGGATCCATGCTGTTCGCTTACCAACCCTATAACAAGTAGAGAAACTGATAGCGAACAGCATGGATCCTGATCAGACTGCGCGGATGCGCAGGCTGGTCTGGATCCATGCTGGTCGCAAACCCATTATGTTGGTTTTGTCGTGACGCGGCTCAATAAATATATTTGTACTGATATGAAAAAAAAGTTAATCAAACTGTGACAAACATTGTAGAGGACTTACCCCTTTGATAATGTTCAAGGGCGACACTGGTAGCGGACTCCCTTTTGTTTTTTGTCGTACATACAGCATAAAGAAAGGGATCGCAATCCACAGATATCCACATGGTATCCACGTTATAATAGTATTCAGGAAACATGTTGAGAACTGCGGAGTTGCTGTGTCGATCGTTACTGGATCCTGCAATAAATTAATGAAAAAAACGGAGATATGATATTTCGTCGCCCATTAAACAGAAAATATTTTTTACTTTGTTTTACGACGATTGTTATTCATTTCAGGATTGCTGGTCGCGTTGGTTCAACCCGTCACGGGCAAGCTGTTGTTTCTTTGAACAAGAAACTTTACACGTTTCAGGAACGGATTCGAGGGTTTTACAATAAGGTTTTAACTTACAATACAATCGAATTAAGATAACTTAGTACAAACTAATTGATATACATGCTTTGTCATATCTCGTCGGACGATTCTCCTAACAGGCTTTTCTGGATAACTGGATAACTAAACAGCTGGATAACTGGATAACTAACCAGAAATTACAAATGTCTCTGAAAGTGGTCAATTACTTATCCCAAAATAGGTCCTAAATCAGCAGTGAGAGTCAAGTAACCATTATGCACACTCTGTATCACCAATACTCAGAGTATGCCTGCTGTTATTCATTGTCAATTTAAATCCGGGAGCATCTCTTAGAAAACAAGTCTTTTGTCGCCCATTTTGAAGGAAAATATACTTGTATGTAAATTTCGTATAAGTTTATTTTACTTCATTGTCAAATTAAAACTATTTGCAGTCAAAAACTTGTTGCTACATGTATACCTCGCGGTTGCTTGATTTAATTTCTAGTAAAATATTTGAGAAATGTTTTACCAAGACAATGTTTTGACACCTTATTTTAGATCTAGCGGTTGAACGCGATATGAATCTTTTTCTATCACGAATTCATATTCCAAAGCACCTGCGTTGAATTTTACATTATTAAATGCAAAACAAACCCGTCACTTCTTATACTTGTAAAATAATTAAATGTATGATAATAGATTTCATATATTTACCGGTAAATACAGTTTACATCAATGCAAAGGGTATTATTAAGGATATATTTACCATAAGAAAAGTTATATAAAGAGCAAATTGAATAGCAAAATAAAAATATTATAATTACAATGTACTTGTTTGTTTTGTTTTGTTTGGTTTGGTTTTACGGCGCAACAACACAATTTAGATTTGGCGCCGAAACAGGAAAGATGATTTTGCCTAACATCAGGTCTTACAAACTTAGGGCAACACCAGGGGTAAAAACCACCTCATCTGCTGGAGCTAAGAGATGCAAAGACTCTAGTTATTCGAAAACATTTAGTCGCTTCTTGCGATCACGCAGGGATAAACGTTGGCTACAATTATTATGCCTCAACCATTAAAGGCAATCCGTCAGCCACATGGGTCAATAAAGGAGTTCAAGAAAAGTTAAGGTCCAAAACTACCCGGTATCGAAACTTGTTATTAATAATTATGGCTCAACCATTAATTGTCATAATGTCTACACACATTTCGGTAACGTCTTGGTACCTTTTGCATCAATTTTTATATTGACTTTGTTGTTGTTGGACGAAATACAAAAAAAAGAGATAAATAAGGAAGGATGGCATTTCGATGCCCCCAACAAAATCCAAACCCAGAAACACTGGACCACCGAAAAGGATCCCGGCATTATTGCTTAATTATTTTAATGCATTTACACAAATTGCCATAACGTTCCAAAATTATAATATTATTTTTTAACAAATGAGGAAAAATCACTTAACATATTTAATTGTACGTCAAATATTCAAGATCATTTTCAACATTCTTCTACGAAATTAAAGAAAGGGAAGAAACATATATTATAAAATCTTGGAAACATTTTTCCCCAACATGTGTACATTTACAGGTATTTTTTAAAAGAAAATTACATATTCTTACCCAAAAATATTCTCCTCCACAAAATTCTAGAAATATTGCATTAGTTTCATTTAAATCCATGGTTCAGTTTTCGTGTTATAAACTCATTATTAGAACCGATACCAATGGGATAATAGTTATGTAAATTATTTCATAAATAATATTCGCTCGTTTATGTCGATGTCCCGTAAACAGTATTTCAATACTATAGAGGTGTTCGTCAGGGTGAAAGCCTTTCACAAATATTGTTTGTTTCTATGTCTCCCTAACTATTTCTTTAGCCTTTTTTGTTTTTGTTAATTTTAATTTACTTTTTATTCTAAATTTTTTTTAAGATTGGATAATAAAAGTACAGAAGTGTTCTTTTCCAAAGATATTTTGCCGCAAAACGTGGTCTTGGCATTGCAATTTTGTAGAACGACCAAAGAAATTGCCACTGACATTTAAATTCAAAAATGAAACAGAAAACCATTTCCTATGAATTGCCGTAGTTTTTCTCGGTATAAGTTTGTACCATTCGCAACAGTTGTTCTTTTCATAGCATAAATTGATATACAAGATGATACTCTTGATATGAAAATTTAATGTATTGTATTGGATATTAATTGATTCAATCACAAGTTGCAGCGTCACGAATAGAAACAGAATGATTCAGTTTGTACATGTATACTTATTAGTACTTATTAGTGCGTAATCATTAGATGATATTAAAGTGAATAGGTCTATAAAAGAACATTTCTCATACCATAGATAATTATGTTGATAATATTGAGTGTCGTACTTGAAGTAAAACCACGAAAAAAATATATGGATGTTTGTTAGTAAGTATTAGATACATAATCCGGTATGGTATAGCAATATGTAGATGATAACAAGAACAAATTTGGTGCAGTTGTGGTTTGGAACTTTAATAATCTGCCAAATCATCGTTGTCTTCTATAAATTTCCAATATTTTCGCTGTCTTTCAAAACGAAACAACGTTATTTGTGCAATTAAAGTTAACTTCATTTTTTTCAATAAATGACAAAACATTGAGAATTTAGTTGGTGTATATAAATCACAGAATACATCTCGCAAAAAAAAAATAAACAAAAAGAAACAATAATTAGATGTGGTATGGTTAAAGCCGGTGTCATTAAAGCACTTGATATTTTACCGCTGTCGATTAGAATGCTGAAAAGTGACTTTTTAAGCTAGCTTTGAGAAGGTCGGTGGTTGCACTATTTAGCTTTCAATCCCAGTTACATGCAGAGGGGCAGGTTGTCTTCTTCCGGTCAGTAAAAGCGAAAAAGTCGTTTTAGAAATGACATTTATAAACAAATTGTTAACGTGACATATATATAATTTAATAAAAAGGTAACAATAACTAACAAATAACTTAGAACTGAGATAGTACATGTATTTTATTTTATTATTATTTTTTTGTTCGTGTATCAATCAATCAATTAATCAATCAATCAATCAACCAACCAACCAATCAATCAACCAATCAATAAACATATATGATAATCACGCCCTTACAATGCATTCGCAGTTATAACATTATTCTTATTACTTTCAATTCACTTTATTTCATGCTCGTGAAATTTTGTGTTTTTGTCCAAAAAAAAACAAAAACAAAAAAACACACACACACACACACACACAATGTTGATTCATAAATTCGTAGTTGTCTGAATTTTATGAATTTTTACAAATACGTAAACTGCAAATAATTTATGTGAAAAATCTGACAACAGATAAAATAAAATTTCGTCGGGGACTTAAATCAGTGGATTGACCACGAGCATAACTGCCCCACGAATAATAATGATTTTACAGTTTTCATGATTAATTAAAAACATATAAAATAATATATGAATTGTTATAATAACGTTGCTTAATTAATGTCTTCCATTCTGTTAATTATACTTTTTTATTTTTGAAACATTTATATATATATTTTTTTTATCTGGAACAAATAATTCAAATTGATGGAAATGTTTATATGCTTTCGTTTGTTTCTTTGTTGTTTTTGTTGTTGTTGTTGTTTTTGTTGTTGTTGTTGGCTTTTAATTCACAATACTATAAGGAGGTGATATTGTGGGGTTGTCCGGTGTTACTTAAGACTGTGGGTGCCTGTCTGTTCATTAATTCGGACAGGAACCGTAGAAGAACCACCGAGGTTCTGTACTGCAGCTGGATGGCTTCCTTAAATAAGAAAAAAAGAAAACCTCCTTGAAATCTGAATCTACAAAGGGCAAGTGATTTCAAGAAAGCGAACTGAACTTGTCGGTCACGGATAAGCACGTTATACGCAAATCACAAGTTACATATTAATTTTATTTATTTATGAAACTGTGTGTGTGTGGGGGGGGGTTTACCATGCGAAAACACGAAAATACGACAAAGTCACTCCGAGGTGCGAATATACGGCAAAAATTTGATTCTCGTACATATTTTCGTGATTTCGCCTTTGGAACGAAAATACGACATGGCACAAATCAGCCACCATAATTTAACGATTTTTTGTGGGGTTTACAATCATTAATATAAATTTCATTAAAAAGAAATATATGTATATAATTTATTTATTACCTTTTCTACTTGCTTATTATTATACTTGTTACACGTGCTGACGAGCCTCGCACAAAAAACCGCGGGACTCCGTTGAACGTTCGTGACATATCAATTATCATTTCATGCTAAATCAGTTAACGAAAATTAACGCCATATAATTGCTATAATTAAAAACGTGAGAAAACTTAATTAAAATTTTAATACTGCAATTAAAATGCACAAAATCGTGGAATAGACACCAGTAGCAGCGTTCCCATGTTATCATTCATAATGTAGATATGGCGGGACGTTCATGTGCATAATTTATTTCATAATAATGCCGTGGCTTTGTTTTTATCTTGTATTATGATGAGAAATTTTGTGATAAAAATTTAACATAAAGAAACTGTATACAAATTGGATCATTACTGGTGTGTTTCGTAAATCTAGCAAAGCTCGTACTTTTGTCATGACATGTGTTTTATATGGTGGCTGATTTGGTACACTTTGAGCGTTGCGTTGTCGATAGCGACAACACTACCTATATCTTCATCGCCTTTTCGTCATGTTGTTTTGTCTTTAGCGAAACGCGACAAAACGGCACGTTGTCGCAATGTCGTCTTGTCGTTCTGTCGCTTGCGAAGCACGCCAAACGGCGTGTTGCCGTGCAGCGCATTGTCGCGATGTCGCTTCGCTTAAACATATGCAAATAGTCGATCTTTCGATTGAGCCGAGCGACAATATGACATCGCGACAACACGCCGCACGACAACAAGCTGTTTGATGTGCTCCGTTAGCGACAGGACGACAGTGCGACAACGCGCCGTTTGACGCTTTGTCGTGCTGTCGCTAGCGACAACACGATGCACAAAAGTGTTCCGAATCAGCCACCTAAGTTATAACTATTGACATTGACTTCGTGACATTAAGTTTGCGTGTACTTGGTGTAGGACGGGTTATCTGTGAATGGTATCGGAGAAAAGATTTATACAAATGATTTATAGAATGAATACAAAATTTGTAACTATAGTGTCGCATTTGCACCATTTATATGTCAGTCTCAGCGGAAAGGTAAAACGGCCAAGATAAGTCAGCATATAATGTTCTTTTCAAGGGGTAAGAAAAAAAAACGTAAATAATACTGAATATATTATATTACGGCAAATCGGTTGGTGTGGGCGCACATTGACACAAAGGGCATCCGTTTTTGTCCATGTCAAAGCCAGTGTAACAGTCGAGAGTGCAACTGAAAATTCCGGGACACACAATTGGCGCTAACGTGGTTGTTGTCAACGTTGTCAATGCGGTGTTTACTAAAGGTATTGTAGCTATATTTGGCAGGTTTGTGTCAAGTTTCTGTGACGTCACTGATGTTGTCACTCCGGGAGACGTCTTAGTTGCAAACGGTGTAGAGGTAATTTGTGAAGTTGTCGACGATGTTATATCTGACGGCGTCATAGTGACGGGAGATAAACTGCTGGATGCTGATGTAACAGATGACGTCACTTGTTTGGTTGACTGGTTTGGAGGAGTTGTTACAGTTTCTGTTGACTTGAAAGCGGAAGTTGGCGTTACAGTCGGCTGGTATAAGGGACGAGTGATTGCAGAGTTACCTGAAAATGTTTGTACATTATTAGTTTTTTTTTTGTTTGTTTGTTTTTTTGTCGTTTTTTGTCACATGTTATCATATTTGATATCAAAGTACATTATCATATTTGATATCAAAGTACAAAGTAACTAATTATCAAATAATTTATTAAATTGCGTCATATAGTTTTAGAAATCAGGTATACTGTACCACAAGGACATTTTAGACATCCGCTTGATACATCAAATATCGGTACACATGCGCACTTAGTCCAGTCATCACATCCTGCACTTGCTGTAAAAAGTAAACAAAGTAAGTAATAATAACAAAAAACACAGAAAAACTAAGGTCAATGAAATATGCTAAAAGCCTATATTGCATGCAACTTTCTCGAATGTATTACGTGAAATACACGTGAAATTTCAACGCAACGCATAGGAACACGTGAACAGATCCGCAGATTGCGGCGCATTCTCCCGGCTTGTACCGTATACTAGGATAATATGAAGAAGTCATTAAATGGCGAACATAAAAATATTTTTAAAAATTACAAGATGGGGAAAATGCGCCAAAATCTGGGAGTCCTGTTCCCGTGTTTCTATGGTAAAAAGATGGAACCTGTCTCAAATTATACCACTCGTCAAAGCATATCTCTACTAAAAAGACAAATGTTTCAATTTAAGCTAACATTAATTGACGAATTCATTAAGAATTGATGCTATCAAAACATAGCTATGTAAATGCTAATCACGTGACATGTTTCAATGCTGAATTAACGTATTATTATCTATTCAACTTATGTTACGATAAATAACATAATCATTTGAGCCGCGTCACGACAATACCAACATAGTGTGTTTGCGACCAGCATGGATCCAGACCAGCCTGCGCATCCGCGCAATCTGATCAGGATCAATGCTGTCCGCTTACCAACCCTATAACAAGTAGAGAAACTGATAGCGAACAGCATGGATCCTGAGCAGACTGCGCGGATGCGCAGGCTGGTCTGGATCCATGCTGGTCGCAAACCCATTATGTTGGTTTTGTCATGACGCGGCTCATTTGAGAAAAAACCTACCACTGAGATGACGTGAAGGATCTACTGAGTTACCTCCACTTGTACCTGGCGCTTTCGGATGGGAGGGATCAATGTTGGAACAGTCGCACGTGCTACATCCGTTCGGGTTCTGATGAAGGCACATTGGAGGACACATCAGTGCCAAACCCTGGCATCTTAGTTTTTCTGATAGTTGATCAAACATAAAACCTGAAAATAAAACTCAAAAATATCATTATCCTTTTTTTTGTTGAATTGGCAAATATGGCACATTTTCCGCTAAACGAAAGTTTATTATGATTATATTTAAAATAAAATACTATAGTCTGTCCCACCAAATTTGAATATTCCATTTTTTTATTAAATATAATAGTAAAATCATTTAAATTAATGTCTTGTTAATCATGACATCAATATCTCTAGGCATGTTTTTCATTTTTTCCATAAAGTCAGTAATATGGTCAAAATGTTAAAATTATATTTTTTCCCATTGACTTACGTTGTAATCTGACGTGACGTCCATTTCAAAATGGCGGCGCCCATACAGACGTCATTTAGGGTTCGTCTCACAATTATGTACTCGGAGAAATGTACTCGGTAATTATAAAAAATTGATTATTCTTATTTACTTACTGATCCGCTTTATAAATTATAACACACAAAGATTTACATAATTATATAATTACCATATTTTATATTCTTTTTAAGAGAAAAAGAGCAATATTATGAAGTGATTTGATTCGATAGCTTTTCAATCAAGCGCGTATGTTGAATACCGCAACGCGTCGTAAGGGAACGGGAACAGTTAGCTAGAAGACTGAAAAAAATGGTTCTTCGCTAATGTTTAATTAACATAATTCTGTAGTTGTCTGAATACTGTCCATTAGTATGTATCACGTCTATTTAAAAATAATTAAATTAACCAGGTCCGATGGGATACAAAAACATGTTACCCTTCTTATTTCGGGTGCGATGTTCGTGCGTTAAAACTTTTCGTAGGTTTTAACTTTCACAACAGAAACCTGACGTATATAAATCGCCAACAAATATAACATTAGCATGCAAATCTGACAAGAAATATATAAAAAGGAATTGATTCACTATATGTTTAGTATTGTTTTGCACAGTGTCTACTTTAACTAGCTCATTTGCTAATGAGAGAACACAGACTCGCGTGCGAGGAAAAATGTAAATTATTAGAATATAAAAATGCTTTCCAGTTTAAGCAACCAAACGTTGGCCTATACACTTTAAGCTTGTAAATACAGATTAATTTTGAGTCTCATAATTTAACAAAATGTCCAGAAATACCGGCAGTGTTTGATATTATTAAGAATAAGATTGAATTGGAGCGTTTAATCAGGGACAATAAGTGTTTTTTTTTTGTAGACTCAAAGTGTTACATACTATGTTAATATGAAGGGGATATCGAGTCAAAGAGAAACACAGAGTGATGTCCTAAATAATTATAGCCTTCCTAAAATTTGAAAATATTCAGTGAAAAAATAATAGCTATATTTTTTCGCGAGAGAAAATAACACCGCATAGGGTATATTTTGTAGCTAAAAGAGTAAGATTTACAGAACTCTTTAATAACGAGATAATTTGTAGGGAAATTATTTCTGAGAAAAATATAAAATAGTTTAAAAACATAAAGTCAAAACGAAGGTTATATGTGAATTAATGGAAGACCTGTATTCTGTCATATAGATTCATGCCATTAAGTGTGTTTAAAATTATTTAAATGTTATCAAAAGTTTTATTGTTAATATATGAATTGAAGGTGTACTTTTAACAATTACTGCAAAATCTGGGTACTGTATACAAAAATTATTTTAAATGCCATCAAGACAAATTTATCTCGCTTAAAATTATCTTTATGAGGTTACATATGCCTAACCGCCCTCTGCCAATGCCGCAACTGGAATCATCCATAAAAAGCGCGAGGCATTTTTGTTACGTCATATATTTCGTAAATTATTGGTGACGTAATAATGTTTTTTCGTCAGGAATCCATTTTTAAAAGTTATAAACATTGTGCTGTCGAACTAAATTTATGGGCCGTTCTTGAATTATGGATTTGGAACATACTGGATTATGATGTGTTTCATTTACATATTTCATTTGCTAACCCAGATATCTTCACAAATGGAACAATGTTAATGAGACGGATTATGAAAAAATCTGGATCATCATTTGTGTAAATGTCATGCCATTCAGGAGTTTCAAAGTCTACGGAACTGGATATAAACTGGCAATGAAGTAATCTTCAGAATGCGAATTTGTCGTGACGTTTATAAAGATCTATTTCGAAACTCATAGGGATTCTTTTCAGCTTAAAAGTAAGTGCTATTTCTAGATCTACTCCACAGACTCGATGATCTTGTTCAAGTTGTTGCTTGTTATTCATTTTTTAAAGTTTTCTATCATGCATTGCAACGAAACTGTTACATCTTGTAGATACAGCTTTGTAAAATAATCATGAAACAACCCCGAGAACATCATGTACATTTTAGAAACATGACACGTGCTTTCTCCCGTTCATCTTCAAATGAAGAGTACTTCGGCAATGGCTACGGAAAATAAACAACAGAGATTTGCCGTAGAGAAATGAAACTTTGCTTTTACAAGAAAATTAGACACTTTAGAGAAAAATCCTGAAAAATCTCGAGGGTGACTTTTTTTTAGTTTACAAAAAAGTTTTAATTTTTATTCAACGTGTTTTTATTAATTCATACCAGGCAAAAGTTCATTTCCATTTTTAATGGGACAGACTATAGTATCTCAATTTTATTCATTAAAATACCTAGCAGTAAAAAGTAATTAAAAATGGCTGATATTTTCTGTTTTTTTGTTTGTGGTTTTTGTTTATTTATTTTATTTTTTTTTAAATTTTTGTTGTTTTTTGTTTGTACAATGTATGTTGTTTTGTTGTTGTTGTTTTTTGTTTTCTTTTGTTGTTGTTCTTGTTGTTTTGTCTTGTTTTTCTTTTGTTATTGTTTGTTTGTTTGTTTTTTCTTGTTGTTGTTTTTTATTTAAAATTTTGCACAGCTATGAGCTCCTTCATTAATAAAATTAAGAAACAAATATTTCAACCTACCTTTGGCGAGAACAAAAAAGTAAGATATTACTATAAGTCGTGTCATGTTTCTCTATTTCCGGTTTCCTAACAACGCCAAAAAATATCGTCTGCGCGAAGCATAGAAGTTATACTCATCTTTGATATTTGGTATTATATAGGCGGGGGTTTTCGCTATCTGTCTTTTGACGATATGGCCATCACGACGTGTTACTATCAATGAATTAAAATGATTAATCAATATATACATATGGCAATTTCATTTAAATAATTTAAAAGTAAATAACGCAATCACTTTCAGTACTATATCACGATAATATATTAGATATAAAATGTATTTTATCTCTTTTTCTGAAAATTTACGAACTGGTAAGCTTATGGAACGTCAGGTGCCCGGCACTAGAGGGTTTCCTCCAAATGACTTAAAATAAACATAATGAGATAAAAAAAAAACCTCTTGGGTCTTGACCATTTTAGTAGAGAAAGTTTCGTACGACAAAACCACTGTTTGCTTTACAATTAGTTCACAAAAATGTATATTTTTACACAGAAACATGGTACCGACAATTGACACTTCCGGTCCCTCTGTTAAAATTTAAATTTTAGTAAGTCATAGGTAAAATGGCCATTTCTTTAATAGGGAAGTCATGTGAGCACATTTTGGCGAGACGCTAAATATTTTTCTTTTTTATGCGATAATACATCCCGACCCTCACAACAAAAGAGCGCGAATGAGGCCGAACGCAGACAGTGGCGGCTAGCATAACGTAACTGATTTAATATTTTAAAAAAGATGAAATGAAAGAAAAAGTTCTAACAAAATCTGTCAATAACGGAAGTAATGGGAAGTAAAGCTACATTTTCTGGCCTATCTTCTTTTATCGGAACAGAAGTGTTAACTTATCAATTACATTGTATTCGCGATGACGTCATATATGATAACCGGAAACGGTTATCAACGTTTGGCAGGTGCGAGTAAGGACTAATGTAACGAGATAAGGTACCCAGGGTTCCATTCGGGAAAGTGGAATAGCAAAGTGAACTGTTAATTAACGCAAAATGGGCACCATCATGACTAGAAGGATTTTATTGTTTTGTTTATTTTTTGTAAAAGCAGGTATACAATTGGTTTCATTTTTGTGAATATAATATCCAGTATTTATAATAAAATTATCTATATATTTGCCTTTTTTCTTATAGACGACATGAACTATTATTTCCGATAAATCGATAAATATACCGGTATATATTTCTAATTCAATAAAACCTGTTTCCAGCACTAACGTACGACTGTTCATTATCATAAAAAATATTTATTTTAAGATAATTCAATTAATCAAGTGACAAAATTTGTTAATATTTTACTAAATGATGGTTCAAAATAACTATAGTTTGTTAATGTTCGGCTAATTTCGTAACTTTCCGTGATTAACATGTATTGAGAACGCGCTGCGAATCGATCCTCCTCATAGAGACATTAAAACACGGAGAATGCCGAAATATGCCGAAATCTAATTATACGGCGAATATGTTTTCAAGATTAATAAGTATGAAAATAAAAATTAGGAGTATAAAAAGATATGGAAATTGAAATGACATTTCAGCTGCATATAGCGTCTGTCCCTTTCACGTGGAGTGCATACCCGGATGTCTAAAATTAGATGAACGCGGCTGTAAATTGTGTGCCTGCGGTCCAATGATGTTTCACCCTGGGGCAGGTTACCATGGTATGCCAGGGGGTAAGTAATTGAAAACAAATCTCGATTCGGATACAGCAAATACAAGTAATTAAATGTTTTGATGCAAACTTATGATATGATTAAAAGATATACATGTATGTATTCTAGTCAAATACTACTTTGTTTACTTTTGGCTACCTTTACAACACATTATTGTATATTCCGCGCAACTTTCTTCGGTTGTTTAACATCTATTATGCTCTAAATCCATCATTAAAACATTATTAAACACATGTTTGACATTGCTAAAGAATTTTTAAAAAAATGGAAATTCTAAGGTATAATGTGCCTTTAAAAGAAAACAAACACGAACTGGTTCGAACAGTTCACTATGGTGGCGGTAATGTGCCATGAGTTACGTATGACGTGGAGAAAGGGTCAATGTAAGTGGACGCGCCAAGCCATAAATGTTGCGTCTTGTCTCAATTACAGTTATAATTCAGACAATATTCTGAAATAAGTATGGTTTTCACAATTGCATTGCAGGAAACGTGTACTTAAAATATGTCATCAAAATGAACTTTAAAACTGTATCTTATGATATCTTACTTATTATAGAAACAAAAGAACACAACGAAACCGAAACTTAAAGATTTAGTTTAAGTCCGACTCATTTCTAAGAATAACATAATTATAAGCAATTCGTGCTTATACATACTGTCAGGGTCTTTCAAATGATACTGTACACAATTTAATCAAAACTGGTATTTTCTAAAACAACCATTAAAGTTTGTAAAATATCTATAAATAGATTAATTCATGGTTGAAAGGTTATTTCATTTATGCCAGGAATGATGGGCGGGGCGAGATTCACACCCGGAACACTAGGTGAAGGAAATATGTTCGGCGGTGTCCAGGGAGGATCCCACAACAGCGGAGGGTATCATGCTGTGAAAGAAAAACCTTTAAAAGTTAGTTTACTCTAAGTTGAAAGGTGTAAATTACTGGTGAAAGATTTCACACTGCATTTCAAAGTATATACATGTACATAAGAAATTAAGATTCTAAAATTTGTAGGACAACATATCAACATTTATAAGACCACAAATCAAAATTTGTAAGACCAAATATCATAATTTGTTAAACCACATATCAACATTTGTAAAACCACATATCAAAATTTGTAAAACCAAATATCAAAATATATAGGACCAGATAGCAAAATTTCTTAAACCATAAACCAGCATATCAACATTTGTAAGACCGAATGCCAATATTTGTAATAACATATACAAAAATGTACCATTATTTGTAAAATCGCAGATCAACTTTTGTAAGACAACAACATATCAACATTGTAAGACAAGATGTTAACATTTATAAGACTGAATAATAACATTTGTAAGACTATATATCAACATTTTATAAGACCAAATGTCATCTGTGATCTGTTTTGGATATATACCATCTATTAATTTATGTTCATTCGAGGAAATATTGCTTTTACTAAACGGACAAAAAGAATGTTTGATATTTCTGGAATTTATGAATTTAATTGCAAAACAAATCTATTGTGACTGACATACATACTTGCATGTACAGTCGAGACTGTCATATGTGACTTTCCAAGGGATCTTCAGAAAAAGGTCACATATGACAGGGAGTCTCTTAATACAGTCTCAAAGAAAATTAAATTTAAATATCATCTATCTGTCTATATACCATTGTGACATAAAGATCCTGTATGTTTTGTGAGTGATATTGTTTGTTCACTACACTTGCAAATATATATATATATATGGATATAATTATGCAAATAAAACAATTTTCCAACATCAAAGAATATGTAAAATGTGTACTGCAAATATTTGTGCACATTATATTTAATCAATAAATTACATGCATGATTTCTTATTGGAAAATTTGACTAAGAATTTATAGAAAATAAAGTTCTAATTACCTCCCTTTAATGGCCTTTATTTACATGAAATGTTAAATTGGGTGATATCTTTATAAAGCATGCTTATTTGAACTTACAATATTGACAAATCTTAATTTGAGCATCATATTTATGAAATAAAACCATGAAAAAATTGTGTTACATATCCATATCCAAAACTTTTTCCGGTTTGATATCAATATTTTTTCCGTATTAATTATGCAGCCATAGAAATGTAAATTAAAAAAATGCTGCTTAAAAAATCTTCCGTGGGCACTCTATAATAAAAAAAAATCTAACAAAAGTCTTAACCCAGTTCACTTTATGCACATTACACACACATCGATTACATCATGCTTCCCATGAACAGACGCTACGTCACTTGATACCTGCATGTATACTGTGTAATTGAGATAGAGGTGTGTAGACTTTATTTGCTACTGGATTATAATTGGACTTAATTATTTTGGCCCTCTGGGTGTTATAATAGGTATAAATTATCTTATTAACGGACAATTAAAAGGTGTGAAAGTCGTTTAAATCAGACCAAACATTGCATTGGGACCAGACAATTAGGGTCGCTTGTCACATATGACAGGGAGTCGTTTAATTCAGACCATTTATATAGGAAAATACGTTGGGAGGACTGAAACAAGGTCGGATAAGACAGGGAGTCGTTTAAATCAGGGGGTCGCTAAGGCAGTCTCGACTGTATATACAATTTTCACTGATAAATGTTTTTGATATATTTTGATTCATAGCACATTTATTGTGACTGACATACATTATATACAAACGAATATATACTATTTTAAGTTATCCTGCTTGAATTAAAAGCGATTGACGTAGAGCAAGTAAAGTCCGCGCCCCCTGGCTCTGTAATATTGGCCGATTCACTTAAATGGTCAATTGGTTTTCCGAAAATTAATCAGAAAAATTATAGTTTAAAACCTGTACATGTCCATTTTTAAAAGCAATTCAGCAGGTTGTGGGTTTATTAATAAAGATTATATTAATTATGTTTATATTTAAAACAGGAATGTACTGGCACGATGTTATGTATTATGACATGCAAGGGACACTACTCTCTCAGTAAAGACGTTCAGAGTAACGGTTGTCGTTCTTGCACATGCCCGAAAGAGCAAACGCACACACAAGGTTTATATGTATTACTTTATGATTCGCAATTTTATTTTAATTCAAAGATTTAACGGATGTACAAGAGATTGATCTAAGTATATAAAAAATTTAACAATGATTCGGAAAACATGTACCTTCACTGAATCAGTTACTTGTTGTTGTTTTTGGTGGTGGTGTTTGTAACCAAACACAACCTAAGCTGCAACACCATCATACGAATAAAGCATACAACTGCTAGAATGCAAGATATATTGTATTTCGACAAAAGAAAGGCGTCGTAAAGCCTATTTTCTTATAATGCATAGACTCGTGGAAAGCGAACAAAAAAAAAAGAAAGACGAGGAAAAGCCTGAAAAATCTGATTTATTCTTAGAATGCGTAGTTTCACGAAAACGTGCAAAGGTGTTTCATATTCAAGTTCTCATATAATTAAATTGTATAAACTAATAATTCTTTTAGATAAAATTTATAAACCGTTATGACATTTGTAATAATAAAAATGTTAATGCTATGTTATTTTTAGTTCAAGTTGTAGTCGAAAAACCCCAACCGAAGCCGCAACCGAAACCCCAACCGAAACCCCAACATATCACGCAGACACAGGTGGTGTATGTACAGAAACCAGCCACGCACACAGACTGTACGGGAACCAAGTTATGCATGATGACGTGTAAAGGAAAATACGTTCTTGGAGAACACGGATCTGACGGTTGCCAATCATGCGCGTGCATCCCAGGTAACCGAACGCTTGCTTCAGTAACTGTTTGTTGTTGTTGTTTTTTTTTGACGCCTGTCTATCTGGCCGTGTTGTTTGTTGTTGTTTATTTTTTGCGTTTGTTTGTTAAACAAATACGAACTTGTCAAACTATATTGGCGTACTTCTAGCGCAAGCATATAACTCTTAAACTGCTGATATTTGTACAATAGATTCGACCTGCTTTGTATTTGGAACCTTTGTATTTGGAACAGACCAAAAAGTCCATCGAAAGTCAATATCAAAATACATTTGTTCATTAACCAAGCTACTGAAATAAAAAATCATAGAGCCATTCAGACTGCGCGAATTGCGGGCCTGTCTGACTCTAAAATAACGAAATGGACTTTAAAATTTTGGTTCAAGCTAGTTAACGATTTAAGCACCCTGAAGTTTAGTGTAATATTCTAATAAAATGAATTATTGTTTCTTTTAGAGCCAGAACCTGTAGTTATACAACCGGTTGAGAAGAAGGAATGTCACGAGACAGTCATGTGTATGTTGTCATGTAAACACGGCTATTCCCTCTCCCCCAAGTGTAACGATGGCTGTCACGATGAATGTCAGAAATGCACGTGCGTCGGTAAGTCGTTAAAATTATAAATGTACCATTAAAACATATTTTTCTGATAAATGTGTCTGGTTGTCTTAGATTGGTGGTTCTTCTAAGGTTTCCCGTTTCATCAAAAAGGTAAGCCGTCGACTTATTAACTTTAAGAAAGTCGAATGGCTTACAACTAAATTTTAAACTACATAATCCTTCAAAGCAGAAATCAAAAGTAACTAAAAAGCTCGCCCTAAAACATATTAGAAACAATGTTAAAGACATTTTCAAACAGAGTTTTACGCGTTTATTTGATGTCATTTTGCAAGGAACAATTTTCGATTTTCTTAAAGTCCTTTTAAGAATAATTGACAAAAGAGTCGCGATTGAATGCATCTTGACTTTTAATTTAATGATATTTTATTTATCTTAACATAAAGTAGCATTATTATCTTAAGCATATTTCGATGTACATACAAAGGGGGTTTGGCTAAATCTTACGGCCCTTCCACTAAATTTGCTATATGAATATATGTAATATCATATCAGGTATCTCACACTTACCAACATTTATTTATGATTCATTTGTAATTTGTTGTTATTTATGTCTGATACTAATTACTATCAACAAAATTATTTATTGTATTATTGACCTCTCGTTATAGACCAATTCACTTTAAAAAATATTCGTATTTGTGTATGCATCCGTGTGAACCACATTTCTTTCTCATATATTATAGCATATACATGTATATTCATCTTTATATATAAAAGAGCCCACACCGAAGCCAGTTATCGTACAGACGCACAAAGTGGAATGCCCTAAAACTTTACAGTGTATGTTACAATGCAAGAACGGTTACCACCTCGGCTCGGCCGGTCACGACGGGTGTCCTACATGCAGTTGTTTAGCACGTAAGTTCCATCAAATTTCTATATGAGCCGCGTCACGACAAAACTAACATAATGTGTTTGCGACCAGCATGGATCCAGACCAGCCTGCGCCTCCGCGCAGTCTGATCAGGATCCATGCTGTTCGCTTACCAACCCTATTACAAGTAGAGAAACTGATAGCGAACAGCATGGATCCTGATCGGACTGCGCGGATGCGCAGGCTGGTCTGGATCCATGCTGGTCGCAAACGCATTATGTTGGTTTTGTCGTGACGCGGCTCAATTATAATTATGCAAAAAAGGCTTGCGCTTATATAAAGAATTACAAACCACTTTCACCATATATATTGCTATTCATGGATAGTGATATCAATTGGACACTTATTAAGGCGGTGCTAGGGGGCTTAAGAAAATGTTAAACTCCTGAGCAGAATATTAAGATTTAGAGTTTATCTTAAATGAATTATGTAACATTAGCAACAGTGTTTGCTAAAAGAATTAATGAAATTCAGTAAACATAACAAGTAGTTTGTTTCTTGTCTTTAACCAGCTCAGCCAGTGGTACAAGTTGTATATGAAGTGAAGTGTTCGAACGCCTTGTCTTGTCCACGTGGATGCTCGGTAGGATATAAATGCGACAAAAATGGCTGTCCGACCTGCGAATGCATCGCTCCACAAGGTAACTACGTTGAAATCTTAACTTCGTTAAGTTGAAATCGTGAATTCGTGAAGTTAAAATCGTGAATTCATGAAGTTGAAATCGTGAATTCGTGAAGTTGAAATCGTGAATTCATGTTTAATCGTGAATTCATGAAGGTGAAATCGTGAATTCATGAAGTTGAAATCGTGAATTCATGAAGTTCAAAAACGTGAATTGATGACGGTGAAATCGTGAATTGATGAAGGTGAAATCGTGAATTCGTGAAGATTAACCCGAGATTTCAAGAAGTTGAAATGTCATCGGCCTTTTGTATTATATATATATAGATTGTTAATTCATTGTCTATTGTTCTTGAAATATTAGATATCAATGTTTTGACAATTTGTAACATTTATGCAAATTAACACGTTCGATTTAGTTTAATATAAAGACAGTGTCCACCTATACATGACTAACATTTATAAATTTTATATGTATTATTTAACTTGCCCCAACAGTTGTCGGCGTGCTAACAGTACACGAGATACACACCACACAGCAAGTCACGTGCAAGTCTGCTCTCACGTGCCCCAAATCATGCTCCCTTGGTTACAAATGCGGGACAGACGGATGTCCAACATGCCAGTGCTTAGTTGAAGTACACACGGGTATAATATTTTAAGAATAACCTTGTTATTTTGTCACATAGAACTGCAGTAGACTGGTCATAAATTTTCATAGCTGGGGTGTTGCCCTATTGTCCATCCGTAATAATGATTATCCATATTCCCTATAATCAATCTGAAATAATGATTATACATATTCCCTATTGTTCATTCGTAGAAATGATCATCATACATATTCCTTATTGTCCATCCGTAATAATTGATTATCAATATTCCCTATTGTCCATCCATAATAATGATTATCCATATTTCCTATTGTCCATCCGTAATATTGATTATCCAAAATCGCTATTGTCCATCCGTAAAAATGATTATCCATATGCCATATTGTCCATCCGTAGTCATGATTATCCATATTCCCTATTTTCTCCATCCGTAATAATGATAACCTAAATTCCCTATTATCCATCCGTAATAATAATTATCAATATTCCCTATTGTCTATCCGTAATAATGATTATTCATATTTTATATGTTATAAGTACTTTTTATGCACCAAGGAAATAGTCACATTATTTTGTATAAAACCTATTACTCATCCGTAATAATACAAATGTAATCATGATATTTTTGTCCTTTTGTCTACTGTCCATCTGTATAAATTACCGCCATGTTTTATTTGTCATCTATTTTTCATCCGAAATAATTCACATAAACGTTCGCCATATATTGTCTATAACTTATTGTCAATCCTTTAAAGGAACTCCACTGAGGTCCATGTATCTAAAAAAAATTGAATTTCTTAATTTTATAATTTTATTGGCTGTGACACTTTAAAAAGAAAGATGTGCAAAAAAGTTTTTAACATATATACTCAGAAATACAATGTATATTGAAAATCGTATTTTTTAGTTATTCTTAGCGCGATTTTAGTGAAAAGCGTTGCAACGACTTTCAATTGTAGGTAATTTTTTCACAATTTTATTCTGGGTAAACAGAATAAGCGAATGATCTGAAATTTTGCACACAAGTTATTGATCTATGGAACATTAATCTTTAAAGATTATTACCAGTCCCGTCATATAAAAAAATCTCATTGGAGTTCCTTTAAAAAGTCAATGTAATACGTTTAGCAAAACTTCCTTTATAAGCTTACATTTTTTTCACAGCATGTGTACCTATTTCCATTTCTTTAGTTTAACCCATCGAGAAGGGTTCATTCATACTTGTTTTTTTAAGATCTTCTGAAATGTCTCAAAGTTTAAAATTCAAGAAAGTGTACTATATTTAAAGTTTGTATTTTTTACAAATTTTCTAAAGATAATGAAATAGAGAAAAGTAAATATATACATGTGTTTATATATTTCTTACAAATGTAAGAAAGCAAGTTTCAAAATAGTATAATGTATACAAAGCCACGTTCACTCTATTAAAATGTAAGATGGGTGCAAGGACGGGTGTGACACGCACACTTCAAACGGAAACTCCGTTACATCAACGACCGGAAGTAATGGAAATAATGGGCCTTTCAATAATGGAGGCACTGGATCCGGTCCATTTAACGTAGTAGGGGGTGGAAGTACGACAACCACTGGCGGAAGTGGGTACGGAAACGGTCCATTCAACATGGCGACGGGAGGTTCTAATGTGGGAGGGTCAGGAACGGGTCATTTTAGTCCTTCGACCGGGTCAGGATCAATTGTTCCAAGTGGTGGTAATGTAGGTCCATTTTCCAGTGCATCATCAGGCGGAAATGGCAATGGAGCAGGCCCATTTTCTGGTACAACTGCAGGCGGAAATGGCAATGGCGCAAGGCAAGTGGTAATGGCAATGGAGCAAGCCCATTTTCTGGGACATCCACAGGCGGAAATGGCAATGGCGCAGGTCCATTTTCTGGTGCAACCGCAAGTGGAAATGGCAATGGTAATGGGGCAGGCTCATTTTCTGGTGCAGCAACAGGCGGTAACGGCAATGGAGAAGGTCCATTTTCTGGTGCAACCGCAAGTGGAAATGGTAATGGGGCGAGTCCATTTTCTAGTGCAGCCACAGGTGGAAATGGAAATGGAGCTGGTCCATCGTTTGGGTCACCAACAGGAGGAAGCGGAAATCTTAACCAAATAAATGGGGGTGGCGCAGGCTTGGTCACACAATCTGGTAACTTTAATGGTATAGGTCAAGGGTCAGTAATTGGAGGTGGTGGCAATGGACCTGTTACCGGTTCAAGTGGCGGTACTAGTCCATTTGCTGGGACAGCGACAGGAAATGGCGGGCTAGGATTAGGTAATAGACCAACTAACGGTGGATCAGGACCATTTGCTAACGGTTTAGGGAGTAATTGGCAAGCTGGCTCGGGTAATGGAAAAGGATGGGCATCTGGCGGAACATCTGGTCCATTTGCAAACGGTCAAGGGAGCGGTTCGACAACAGGTCAATTCCATAACATGAATGGTTCTGGATACGGATTTAAGCCATCTAACGGTATGGGTGGTTCAACCATGGGCTTTGGTTCTGGAGGAAATTCACAAACCGGTACGAGCTCCGGATCTAACGTAGTTCAAGGTAATAATAACGGAATTCATTCAGGAAGCGGAAGTATCACACAAACTGGCGCTAATTTAGGATCTGGATTGGCAACAACCAATCAAATGGGTACAGCTCCTGGTACTGGCGGGAATGGTCCATTCAGTATGACACCAAGTACAGGAGGCCCAAATAATAGTAGTGGTCTACCGATGAGCCCGTTTTCAGCTGCAGCCGGAGGAAATGCCAACGGTGGTCCCTTTTCCGGAGCAATTTCTGGAAATGGAGGAACAAACGGAGGTGGAAAGGGGCCGTTTGCAAGTGGTTTAACTGGTGGAAATCTTGGCTTCGGAGGAAATTTTAATATTAGTAATACTGGAAGTAATACTAACGGAGCAGGAGCTGGACATTTAACTGATGGTTCTGGTGGTAATATTGAACAGACTATCGGTGGATACGGTACAGGGCCTTTTGTTGTGAATGGCAACGAAATGACAGGTTTTGGTACGACATCCGGTACTGGGCCGTTTAACGCAATGACGAATGGTCCATTTTCTTCGGCTGGTAACGGTCAACCATCTACTGGAACAAGCAATCAAACAAGTGGACAGTCAAACACTGATCTTCTAAAAATTATTAAAGACTGTCCAGAAGTTATTAAATGTATGCAGTCATGTACAAATGGATACAACCTTGACACGCTTGCTTCTCGGGGATGTCCTTTATGCACATGCGCAGACAATTCCGGAAGCGGCCCTGGAAACGGAAATATCATTCAAGAAATGGGTAGGTGTTCATTTTTTTAACAAATGTTATCATGAACAAAACGCGTTTCTAATACTAGTATTATTATTTCATATAACCGGTATACTCATTTGATATTAAATAAATCAATTGATACTGAATACAGAGATTTACTCGGAAGTGATGTGCACGGAATGCAACCCATTTGTAAGAATGTATAAATGTTGTTATTGAAATACATGTATATATTGCAATAAACCAATTCAGTCATGACAATCAAATTCTTTTTCCAGTAAAGTTTAGCTATGAAGCGCTCTGGGCTTTGGGTTGGCTCGCCGAGTATTCCAAGTGAAAATAAATATAATACCGAATTACACCTTTAAAACGGAAAAAATAACAATTTTTAACCGACTTTCCCGTTCATAGGTTTGCCTCATTTCATATTATATCTTGTTTATATGGATCGCTCTATTTAGTTGCACAGAATTCTATATTTTATTGTACTGTATCAGCTGATGCCCCAACCGGATGCTCAAAACATTTTAGATGCACCTCTTGTGGAACGGGCAAACACCAAGGTTTTGCTAGTGACAAGAAAGGATGTCCCATTTGCAAATGTGTCGGGCAGCAAAATGGTATTTTTTTCTTTTTAAATGGAATACATTTGTAATTTTGAATCTACTACAATATTCCTGAATGGTATTTACATGTAGATGTATCCGTGTTCCTAAATGGTATATATATCTGTTATTTCCGATAAACTAAAATATTTTTGAATGGTATACATGTATGTCTGTAATTTCAATTAAACTAAAATATGTGTATATGGGTCATACGTCTACAAGCCTATAATTGCTGTAAACAAATAGGGTTTGCAAAATAAAATATTAGGCATCTTTTGGAATGTAAACCGCGAATGCTCTTTGTGGGAATAACTATTCCAGTCTGTTAGCTGCAAGAAATATTCTATTTTTGTGATGATCTTAAAAGGTGCCTCCGATGACTTATATAACAAACTGAATAAAACTGAAATGTTTTAATATTCACAATTTATGAGGCTTGTTATTCGTCGCCTTTTTCCATCCTCCTTTTCTATATGTAATTATATTTTGACATATTTAAAGTAATTTGCGTACATAACTTCATTTGTATACGTGACAATAACAAAGTCAATATTTCAATATTTCATCAACAAATTATGTGTCGCTTCTAATTGAATATGATTATGAATACAAAACCGAAGAATATTTTTTAAGATAATGAGGTTTAAGAGCGATGTTTTAAATGCAAATTATAACTCAATTTTCTGAATTGCTTGTTATGATATATGATACATTGTTAAATGTCACATTCTAACCTCAAACCATGCTTACCTGTTTATTTCCTGTTTAATGCTCTTGAAAACTTACTCGTTCCCGTAAGATCCAAGGTAAAATTGCATTTAGTTACACTGTTAACCGCAATGTCATGGTCATACTTCTTTCTTTAATTACCAAATCGAACAAGCACTTATACACATTATGTAGTGAGAAAAGGTGATGTTTTGTTTATGTCTTCATAGGAACGCAGCATGACAAAGGAGGTCGAGTATTAGACATAACAGTTAACTGTGAAGGGGACTTCACGTGTCCAAAAAGTTGTCGCAGTGGTTACCAGCAAGGAAAAGATGGCTGCCCGACATGTGACTGTATTTCCGGTGCGTGTCAACCCATCATGCACCGCTTACATCCGGGATTTATTGCCTAAGTTTTGTGCGAATTTAATGTATGGATTTCATCATCATCACCATCAATACTGATTGTGTTTTTCCATATTTCTTTATTCACATCATTATCGTATTATTTATTTAATATTTATATTATGATTTATTATTTGCAATTACAATGTATATATATTTTATTCATATTTTCACGACGTTTGTTGCTTAGTTACATACAGGTTAGGAATTTCATTCCAATAGATTTTAAGCAAGAATGCTTTAAGATTGGAAATAACAACACTGTAAAAAAAACTTAAATTCACTACTATTTTAACAGAACAATATTGTTTTGACTATTTGTTTTAAAAATCTAACTTGAAAATTCATTCATTTGATTATATAATCACACAAATTTAAGTTGAAATCATTATCATACGTGTTAATCATTGAACGTGTTGAAATGATAATTAATATATTCAGTATGTAAACGATAGTTTGATTGGTTTACCAGTCTCAATTAACCTTTGACCTTTTTTTTGGAATGAATTATCCTGAGGTTACTGAAATATTCTTTATATAATCAAAATTATTTTTAGCTGTTTATCTTAGCACAAAAGTCATTCTTTAGTTGCTTAAGATTGTTGTTATTTCTAAATTGTTGTTGTTGTTTTTCTATAAGCATTGTTATAAATCTTTGCTGCCCTTCCCTTTACAGTGACAAACGTGAAGCCAGTGGTTTTAAAACCAACTCCAGCTCCAGTGGCTCCAGCTGTAAGTACAATGGTCAGTAAATGTCCGGCAACAATCCAGTGTATGTCTACATGCGAACATGGCTACACCCTCGGTACCGAGGGACGGGATGGCTGCCCAAGCTGTGCCTGTATTAACCCTAAAACAAGTATGTAGCAAAATTGTGCCAACACGTGACGTTATTTGTTTGTCCCTCTGTCCGTCGAGTATAGAAGTTATATCCCTGTCCGTCGATAGTAGTATGTTATTTCCCCTTACGTCGAGTTAAGAAGTAAAAATGTATATCCCTGTACGTCGAGTGAAAGACGTTATCTCCTTGTCTATCGAGTGTAGTGGGTGACCCTCGTACGTCGAGACCTTATCTCTATGTACGTCGAGTGTAAGAAATTATCACGTCATGCTGTGAGTGTAAGAAGATATTTCCCTTTACGTTCAGTGTAAGAAATTATCACGTCTTGCTGTGAGTGTAGGAAGTTATCTCCCTGTACGTCGAGTGTAAGAAAGTAATATCCCTGTACGTTGAGTGTAAGTAAGATCTCCCTGTACGTCGAGTGTAAGAAAATTATCTTCCCGTGCGTTGAGTGTTATCTCCCTTTACGTCGGGTTTAAGAAATTATCTTCTATTGAAGGAAATGTCCACCGGTTCGTCTATTGTCGTTTGATATATTGTGAATGTGCAATTTATTTCTCATAATGAAACAACATTTGCAAACATGCATATGCTTGGGGAAAAAAAGCAAATTCACATCATAACTTCTACAAGCTTTGCTCTTATCGTTTTTAATTCAACCGATCTTACAATGAATATGTTACCTCCCCTGCGATAATACAACGAAAAGGGTAAATAACGACAATAATTCAACGGGAAATCGATCAATATCACGTGACATAAGAAATGTCATTAATTGCTGCGGGGACTATTTTCATTATTTCAAAGCAATGATAAAACAAAACTACTATTTTCTCAAGGTGAATGCCATGACGTCTGCGCACACAAGCCCGCTGTTACTGTTCACTCCTGCGACGCTGCCCTTCAATGTATGGCGTCGTGTACAGACGGATATGTTCTTGGAGAAACCGGAAGTGACGGATGTCCCAGGTGCACGTGCAAGCAAGTTCAATGTCATACCGGATGTGAGGAAACACACCATCAGGTAAATGATTGGCAACGATTTCACATGTAAACGAATTGACTGCTACCTATTTACACATACATCTTTATACTCAATCACAAAATTCTGGCATTTTTAAAAATTAAAACAACAAGGGCAACATAGATCTAGCCCCCGCACTAACAAAGTTCTATGCTCCTGCGTTTATGAATAAATTATGCAAATGAGCCACGTTGAGCCGCCATGTTGGAGTTTCGGTTTAGCGTGTTGGAAATTGCTACCTGTTCGTTTTGAAAGCTCGTCCTAACTTACAATTTCCTTGAATGTAGGAAAACTTGGTTTTGTTTGATTGCATACTGAATGATAGGTATTACAAAATAATTATAATGCAAATCGATCAATCAATAAATGTATACGAGCGTTATAAAGTTAATTTAATTCGTCAGAATAATAAGATTCTGTTGCAGGGTATCGGTAAAAGACTGCTTTTTTCCCGTTTTTTGAAATTTATTTGAACACGGAGACAATTTTTCTCAAACAGGTTTATGAATATTCTTTACGTTGCAACAGAGTTTACCGTGTGTCCATTCCTTATTTAAATTGTCTAAGAAGTTAAATCTGTTTGTTTACATGTAAATGTGTACCGTCATTTTGACCGACTGGAACAAAAACTACTATGACGGTGATAATACCGGATATGTAATGAAAATTACGCCGTGTAGTGCAAAGTTTTGGACATTGCAATTTAAATTAACGCTTACGTTGATTCAATCTGTTCATTGTTAGCAAAATTGAAACCGAAAGTAGTGGTTGTTCTAGAATTTAATCGAATAAAATGGGTGGGATTTAACCACCGCGCATGCCCTGTGCGAACGTTTTGTTTACATCCGGTCGTAGCATAGGGTAAGAGTGCAAACTTTGTTAGTGCCCCGGTTGCTTCTTTTGGCCCTCCAAAACCACAGGCAATATTAATCAAAATATCATGAAATAACCTCCCCTTGATCAGCAAGATCCAGCACCCGTTGACTTTATAAAATATATATTATATATAGTAAAAGGATGCTGGATCGTAACTTTGTTCTTGATGACCAAAGGGAGATTATTTTGATGATTTGTCCATTTTTGGCAAGACAAATGTGCCGAACGCCTGTACACCAAAATCGGACCTTTCCTAAAGTGCATTCATTCCGCTGACTGCAATATTTCACACTTTCTGTGTTTTATTTATCTTTTTGAAGGTAATACAGTTGGTACAGACGGAACATAAATGCACTGAAAATTGTGGACAAACAAGTAAGTTTTACCCTTCTTTTATGTTTGTGACATTATTAGTGTCTACAACCTTAAAGGCACAGCATGTCTTAGAAGGAAATGTTTCCTTCTTTGGAAAGAACAAACATGATTTTTATAAAATTGACATAATGGTTTTAAAGAACGTTACATGCTTCTAACCTGAATACGTATCACTGAATGTAAAATTATTTGTCACAAAAGTCGCTACGTGTAAACAAAGTAGTATTTTGACTTCCAAACAATACATACAGTCACTAAAATTGTCAAAAAAGGCCAACAGTTACTGATGAGAAAGATGGTTTAGGTAAATGACCAATTAGTAAAATTTCGGAAACACAAGTAGGACAAAAAAAAAGCTTTCGAGAAATAAGGATAAAAACATTTCTGGGGTAAATGGGTCTTCAATAGCAAGAAACATATACTAGTAAGTGATAAATACCCATCATCCGCAGTATTGACCCTGATTATTCTTGTTCCCTTAGTGACATGTATTTTACAATGTACACTTTGAACATGTGCTGCTTATTGTCTTTACATTGGTTTAAATGCATGTAACAACTCTGGTACGTTAAGAAGTTACAATTACATCTTAATAGTTATACCATTCGTTTACTGTGTAAATGTTTAGGTGGTCAAGTCATTCATCTGGTTTCCGGTGGATCACTGACGTCATCAGGCGGTTCTATTTCCGGTGGCGGAAGCGGAACAAGCGGTGGAGGTACAATAGGTGGCGGAGGAACTATGACTTCCGGCGGAAGTGGTGGTTCTATGATGTCGGGAGGTGGTGGAATGACGGGAGGAGGTGAGATTGAAAATTAAGCAGACAAAAACTGAAAGATATGCAGGAACAATGGTGTGTTTTGTACCGATCCTCTCACTTTGATTACGGTTTCTGTCAACTAAAACAACAACAACAACAAAAACAACGACGACGACGAAATGTTGTGTTTCAAAAGCTATTTAATACTTTCATTTTGTCTAATATCTACGTCCCTCGACATAGCTAATAAAGTAAACATTCAAGCAATGAGAACAGAAATATGTGTCATTTAAATTTGAAAAAAGTGCTTTCAAGATTAATACTTTAGTCATGAACAAAGTTCTTGACCTATAATTTGAGGGAAAATTGTTTTTTATTTTCCAAACGACAAAAAGTTTAACCATTCCATTGGTTTAGAATGGTGTGGATGATAAATGCTTTCTATTTTAGGTGGACAGTGTCCGGCATTGCCTCCTAATTGTCATCCATATTGTATAAAGTATGACGTGGCTCATTGTAGACGATGTGAATGTGACAGTAAGTATTATTATTTAAAGTCGAAACTTTATTAAAGTACCATCTCATTACGATATGAAGCTATCCCGCTCGCTAACGGAAGGTTGGTGGTTCTACTCAGGTGCCCACTGAAACAATACACGGGGAAGCAGATGTGCTTTTTATCCCTGAAATAAAGTACCAAGGGGAGCTGAGACTTCACGCACAAGTTAAACTTGAAAGTCGTCAATTGATCTTTACAGTGTCGACTTAACTCTTTTCCATGCAAAATACCAATCTCCACGCAGTGATCTTTTCATTCTTTGGCATACTGTACTGATCAAGGGAAGTAACCGCTGGGAGGGGTTTGGCAAAATATAATACCGCCTACGAATATTTCTTGATTTTAAGTCGGACCACCACTGAAATGGCCGTATATAATAATACGATGGATAACTAGTTTTACTTGTGGAAAAAATATCTAAGCTGCCATTCCTTGCAATATTTCAGGCATGAACAGAAACACCGATCTTCAATAAGTTAGCTGAATACCTTTTACACGTGTGAGGCTTTCTGTCAGGATTCGAACCTTACTTGGTAGGGTATGGGGTGAGACAAGTGATTCGAAGTGAAAGAATAATCACTTGTCCGAGTGCCTTGATACACATGTTTAACTGTATATTTATTTTACAAATATATGCGTAAATATTTGTTTTATAAGGTCATTGACCCTTTAAGACTTGTTGTTGTTTAAATCTAGTGTAATATAAGGATTATTTTGTAATATAAGTAATATGTCAAATCTCCTGAAACAAATGATTTATCTAATTGGCAAAATAAGCTTTTTCAAAGTTGCGTGTTTTATGTTTATTAAAGCTAATGTTCTTCTTTTTACAGACAATGCATCCGGATCATATGGCGGGTAATTTTACCCGCGAAGAATATTTGTCGTCTGCTGGAAATCATATATTAAGTGACGTCATCACGAAATAAAAACAATGGGGCGTTGACATGCAAATTATTCATTAATTTATGTTTGCAAATCTAAATGATATTAATTTAAGACAATTACATAGAGTTCTATTTTATTTGCACTGAATAAAACGATATTTGATATTGAGAATATTTTAATTTATAGACCAATTATTGTTTTGGTTCTTACATGTGAAAAGGCAAGGTCATAGGTTTCGCCCTTGACGAAAAACGACCGATTTCTTTACTTTAAGAAAATGTATGTGATTCTAAATATTGGCTAAATGAAATACGTCCGCTTCGGAGAAATTCGGCAAATTCCGTTGATTTGCTCTTGACTATAATCGTTAATATGACCCCGGATTTGTCAGCTACGCAGTTTGCCGGAGTTTGCCGAAATAAGACGAAGGGTCACTGGATGATGCATCTTAGATAAATTAAGTGCATGCAAAATATCTTAAATACAAGTATTAAACATATACACCCATAGTCTGTTTATTTGTCGATTTTTATGTTCGGTTAATCGATACTATCAAAAAGACAAAAACACGAACAAGTACGAAATACCGCGTATGTTATGAATAAGCAAAAACTATCAACGCCTGAATACTAGGCTAATAGTTCCATAGCAAATATTTTCTGAACGATTTCAATTTGAATAATCTAGAATAATGCATTTAAAACATATTTATTAATTAAGCTATTACATTGTACTACTCGGAATATGGTACAGGTTTTTGTCTGTCTATGGACTCATAACACAGTTCTGCCAGTCTCATTGCTTGAATTGTCTCCCCCTTGGACACACGCAGTTCCTCCTTGCCTGATAATGAAGAAACAAATAAGGCTATACAGTATTATATAATCCAGAAAATGACTTTCCTATTCTTTACTTTGGGCTTTAGAGTACTAAAATTGCTTTATATGTCTCCGCTATAAGTAACCTTACTTGACAGATTTCTTACATAATGGGGTATCATACTCCCCTTTTGAAGTAGACTTGCTTCCTTACTTAAAATAATGATATGTAAAATAGCAAGACAGTTGCAAATGAGGGGCCTGAACTCTTTTATATAACTTAATTATTTAACTTGTAACCATTGTATTGTCATATTTTCAAATATTTGATTGAAAATCAATAAAAGAAACACATACAGATAAAACCCAAAAATCCTTTAAAATCTCCGACATTATCTTGCAACTATTTTGTTAACATAGTGTCTGTGTCTCTGTTTTGTTCCATGGAAAACAAGTACATAATTATGTAACATGCGCAAACCTGCACAGACTGATTTTGACAGATCGTATTAAGAAAAAAAGACAACTATATAATTTTTGAACTATTCAATGCTTTGATATTTACCTTCAACGAGGTTTAAGAAATGTTCTAGCTCGTTTCTGTAAGCATCCGGGTACCTATCCATAAAACTTTCTTCAGTCTTTGGGAGTATTGTCCCTTGTTCACCGGAAGTAGTTAGATGATTAACTCCCTTGTTGTCTACAGATAATTGCATCTTCTCACAGAGGACCTGCAAAAAATTGATATGTGTAAAGTAATAATGATAATAAAATAATAATAGACATAAAAATTTTGAGCAATAAATTAAAGTGCATAAAACCTCGTTGTCTACATGGATTTTTTATTATTATTTCACTAGGAAGTACAAAGTGATCAAGCAAAATATTTGCTTTTATGACAATACGATGCAAAAGCAAGAAAACACCCGAATGTCTGAAATTTGATAAAAATATTGCACTTTTTTATCGTCATTGAAGCTCATATTTCGGGATTTTATACCTTTATAATTTTATTTGTCTTATCGTTCTTTAAATCAAAGATCTGTCGAATCTGTTTATAATAATGAGCTTAAGGCCCTAATGGAACACCATAAACAACAACAAAACTCATATAGCATCTATTGCTGTATATTTGTAGTCTTAGTTGGCAGGCGAATTAAATTTTGAGTGACATATGAAAGTCCAAAATGCCTCTAAAGTATATAAAATCTCGTTGTCGACAAGGATCTCTTTTTATCTTAGTATATTTACGGTGACACTAGTATGTTGTATAAATTGATTGCTTTTTGAATCATACGGTGACACTCGTATGATTGCTTTTTGAATCATGAATAAACATAGAATGGTAGTTCTTCTGCATAATTACAGGCAATATAAATGATTAATTTATACCTCAAGTCTCTGGTCATATCCGAAAGGACACCATCGCCCATTGTCTACAACGGCCACGGCTCCATTTTCATAAGATATCACGACTACCACTTGGTCATTATCATTAAATTTCTTTAATTCAGCATTGTGCGCATGTCCGTGAGCAAAGACGCTGACAGGTTTACTTCCGGCTATCCATGAGACCATATCCAGGTCATGAATAGTAGAATCCTTGAAAATACCACCTGGCAGAGTAAGAAAATGCAAATTCATGATTATCTGACGACTTTTCACATTTGTGCGCGCGCTCATGAACAAAGAAGCTGACCGGTTTTCTTTCGTCTACCCATGTTACCATATTCAGGTCATAAATAGTAGAATTCTTGAAAATACCACCTGACAGAGTAAGAACATCTAACGAATTTTCGCAGTTGTGCGCATGCTCATGATTAAAGACGCTGACCGGTTGACTTCCGGCTACCCACAAAACAAATAATAAATCCTAGGAAAAACAGCTTTTAATTAGAAAAAATGTACACACTGATATTTATCTATTGAACTTTCCGAGTTATTTGCATGCTTTGAGCAAAGTAACTACCTGCTATGTTTTGCTACAAAACAAAATGGGATACAATATATCATGCGGGGGATATTTGCAACTCAGTAAGTGTTGGAAGTTTTTTTTATAAAAAATCAAGGATTCGTTTAAAAAAATCTTAAAAACATCACCTTTTTACTATATAGATGGTGACAGGGATTAAAAATTGCATTACCTGATGTTCTTAAATATTCTACTGGTGGATTTGGAAAATCACGACTGGTAGCTTTCACGATACGAACCGGTCCGGTTGAGCCAGATCTTACTTGTTTGTACAGTGAATAAAAGGACGGGTCGAATCTCCTGTAGTAGAAAATCAGTTTTAAATATCGTATATTCTATGTGATCTTTTCTTCTGTTTATTTAGTCCGAAAGTTCATTTTGAAAATAAGACACACCTCTCGGCGTGTTAAAGCAAAATAATGCAATCTTAAAATGAATAACTGCTCGAGATCTACAAGGCGCTTCTGCTTTGGCAAATATAACTGAATTTATCATTTTTCATCATCATTTCTTTACCCCTTTTTCGTAAAAACAATTTTGTGAAGTCGTGATGCCCATAAGTCTTTATTAAATCACTTATTGTTTATATTCTTGACAATGTTTTTTATAATACGGGAGAAACTGTTTGGCTTCAGAAAAGAAGTGGAGGTGTTCCGATTGAAAACGGAAGTGATGCGTGAAATGCGAATGACACCATAAAAAAGAAAATCATGAATTAAAAAAAAATCCATCTGACTTCCCCGTGCACAGGCTTTGCCTACTTTCATTTTTATCTAATCTGATTCAATATTTATGAAAATTCACGAGAATTTGGAATGGCATAGCTTTAAAAACAATTTTACCTTTGAAATGCACACAAGAGTGGTCTCCCTTTACTTTCGGCGAGCTCATAACACGCACGTGTCGACTGGACTGACGGTGTTAGAGGCTTCTCACAAAATACGTATTTATCTAGTGGTACACAATATATCATTATACTTAATTTCTAGAAAAAAAAACTACTTCACTTCATGCAAATTCTAATAATTTCTCAGCTACACAGGTGGATAAATCATTTTGTTTTTTATCAAATACTTATGATGGTTGTTCATAGATTCATTCACTAATTTTAAACCCTAGAAGATTATCAATGCTTATTTTTTGTTTATGATAAACTTAGATATATAAATAACAATAATAAAAAGATCTATGGTTAAAATGTGTATCCGAATTTCGTAACACTTACTAAAGAAACACGTAAAATTACCTGTATTAAGTGAATTCAGAATGAGATTCTCGTGCGTTCCTGTTGGTGATACAATCATAACAGCGTCAACACTATAGTTAAGAAGTGAAATTTTGTATTACATTTTGGGATATCAATTGAATAATTAGTTTGTCTTATCGAATGTAAATAGCGTCAAAGACACTGTCATTATATAGGAAATTGACATTGTATGTGAAACAAGAAATCGCCATTATATCGGACATTGGATTCGAAAATAGTTAATTTAAGCTGCTCCGAGCTTTCATGATATTAATACTATTCTAATTTTGAAAAAAATATCTTTGAATTAAAAAAAAATATTTCTTCATATCTTAATATTTAAAGTTTCTGCTGGTCTTGATCCGATTTTACACCTTTCATTACAAGAAGGGGGAATAATTAATTACAGGAGACAAATTTGGGAAGGACTCGACCAGTATCGTACTTTTACAGCCTGCTTTACTTTTTTAAGAAGAGTTTTAATTTGCTCCTATGTTTTTTTAAATAACTCTAACGTGATCCAGAGAGCATGATTTTTTTTCGTTCAGATTCGTTCTTATTAATGTCGCGTTAAGGGTAAACTGCACTTGAGAGACCATACCTTGAGTCGTCCAAGGCCTGGTCCGCTTTATCCGGTGTCACACAGTGCGTGTTAAGATTATATTTCTCTTTTAGAACATTGGCGTCTTCTATATTGTCACAAACTATCCATTTCAAAGATGCACGAGGAGACATAAGGATATTCTTAACATGATGTAATCCTAGAATTAGAAAAAAGTAAAGGGTACGGGGATCTGTCAGGGCTATCATTGTTTCTCAGCGTCATTTTTACGATTTCGCGTAAAGTTTTCGTGCTTCCATAATTATAGTCTTAAGCTTATCATACTGTAAACCGCAAATATGTAGGATATGCCCATTAGTAATGGTCCTAATTCTTGACATGATGAAAACACTGATTGAGAAAAAAACTAAAGGGTATGGTGGTCTGTCAGGGCCATTATTGTTTCGCCAATTTCGCAGGTTCATAAGAAAGTACAACGAGACAAAGTGACAGCGATAAATAAGAGCAAGATATTTTGCTTTTACGACAATACGATGAAAGTGCAAGAAAATTTGTACCATATTTGTAGAATCGAATTAAAACCACAGATATGCCGAGTCGGTGCATTATAAACAGTAAATTAACAATAATCTGAACGTACTAAAACCATTATTTAAGCGTTGTTAAACTAATGTTTGCCTTTTCTTAAGATGTAAAAATCGGTTCGTTTTCTGGGATATAATGGGCCTTTAAATAATATAATTATATTATCCTTTGCTGTATGCGGAAGATGATCAGAAAATAAAAATACTTTTGTTGCAATTTCTATGTTTGTCAAAGAGGACTTTCATACGTAAGGGCAACGTACTTCTTTATTAATTTCGGAGAATATGAAGCAGATATTGAATTGAATAGTATTAAACCTTGAATATTCGTTGTGATTCAGTTTATTATCTTTTCGTAAAAAATGTCTACGTATTTTCTGATGTCTTGTTGACAATATTTTTGCATTTTAATTATTATAAAAAATACCAGCATTTAAAACAATCAGTGATGAAAGAAGTATAACTAAAGCTTTGTAAATATTTAGTTCAAAATATAAGTAAAATAAAAGTAAAATTAAAACTACTCACCCATACGACCGAGACCAAACACTGCTAATCCAACCTTCGATCTCATTGATATCTGCTAGGTACATACATGTTTTAATGTAAATATTAGTTATTTCCGGACAAATATTTTGCAGAATTATGTATTAAAATTATCTGATATATCTGATATATAAAGTCTGACCATTCAGAGATTTTTTTCTCCTATATTTCACAGTCGAATTAAGGCAGTTTCCTCTAGTCCAAAATATGAAATGCCATACGCACAGTCTTTTTAGAATCATGGCTTAACAGGAGCACCTGTATATCAGCTAGTTGATAAATTTAATTAAAAGAGAGCTGTCCATCTGCTCTGCATATAAAATGCATGTGCAATTTATGGTGGCATATTTCTGCCACTACATAACCATATAACTAACTAGTTAATAAAGAGGTTAAGTAGTTACGTTATTAGTTAATCACTTAATTTATAAGCTGTAAAAATAATAAAAGGATGGCAGTTGTAGGCACTAACATACATTTATTTCCAGTTATGATCTTTTATTTATTGAAAAAATTAACTAGTTACATAACTAGTTAACCACATATAAAACTAACTAATTATGTAATAGGTGAACTAGTTACGTAGTTAACCTCTTAATTAACGAGTTGGTTATGTGGTTATCTGGTGGCAGAAAGATGTCACCATAGCAATTGAATTGAACATTGTATAAAACGCGGGGTGTAAAAATTGTTGGAATTTTATTCCAAGTCTTTCCCGATTTCTGATTTATCGTGCTATGTTTCATTTCAGAAAGCATTAGGTTGTTTTGAAAATTGCAAAATAGGGAAAAAAAGAAAATCACTCGTAATGTATGATGGCGGAATTTATGCATTTCGTTGTGTACAGCTAGTACTGCAATCGTAAAATACAATGTTTTAAAATTTTGAACTTTCGAAGACTTGAAACACCTTAGTGTTATAATGTCACTGTATCGTTATGTCCAATATCATCCACCATAGTTATATGATAGTCAATTACGAAAAAAAATAATTTTATTTTGATGCATTTTTGTATCCACTTGCAATATAATACACTGAATCTTTGTGGCATTTTTGGTATAATGTTTTTTATACACCTCCAGATTAAAGGTAAATATGTTGATAGTATTTTGTATCATACGTTACAACAAACCATGAAAGACTTATACATGTACATGTATTTGGATGCTGATGGTAAAAGTGAAATACATAGTATGATATAACATACCTTATAATGGCTAATAATAAAATGTTCTAGATAAAAAAAAATGTTAATCATCAAATAATGTTCATACTCAAACAATTGTTTTTCAAAATATTCCAAAAGAATTTCCAACTGATACATACATTTCTGTGATTTTTTCAATGATTGAAATATTTATTGAAAATTTGCCCAATGTAGACCAACCCACTTTAAAAGTTTAAACATAGTTTGTATTCACAAACAAAGTCCGCGAGAATACAGTCAAATTTATACATGTATTTACGAGTACTTGTGGCTAAAAATAGAAACGTCATGTTTCAACTCGAACGCTAGCTGGTACCATGAAAATAACTTTAAAAATTGCCTGAATCTAAGAGAAAAAAAAACATTCAATGTAAAAATTGCATTGTCGATTTCTAAATACAGCTGTGTATAAATAAGTTTTATATTGACGATACCTTTAGTTTATGTCCTTTTAAGTATATTCTATATCCTATATTAACATTAAGCGGTCTTTGGTGTGTACGTTAGTTATTGACCTACCTCTATAAATGATAACGCAGTACTGATAAAACCATTTCTTTATACTTTAACTAAACAAAATCGAAATACTTTGCACAGTCAACTTGGAACGAAATTGTCCCATATTTTACACCGGGAATCTTACCTTAAAACGGTCCTAGCAGTCGTATATAATCTTACAGTGCAACCCCTGTAAAGCGGTCGTCTGTAAATACAATAACTTGAAGTAACCCGCAAAATATAATGTAACCCCTCAAGAGTAATACACCTGGAGATTTTATCTTGCTCCTTAAAAGTTGCACTGTATTTATTATGTGTATTAGACTAGGATAAATACACGTGGCAAAACGTTTTTCTTACCCTTTAATTTCATTAAAATTAGCGTAAAGCAATGACCTAGCTGCTTTATACGCTTGAACCATGGTATGGTGTCATTTTTTCGCTCCGCGGGTCGCCAGGCGAAAACACGAAAATACGACATAGTCACCACTTTGTCGTTTTATAGTTATTTTGCCTTGCCTTTCTTGGATTTAAATAACGACAAAATGTTGACTTTGTAGATTTCGAATTTGGCGCCCCGTCGATCTAAAATCCGACAGCCAGCATTGTATGGTGACTTGTTGGGTACAAAATTTACGCACGTGTGAATGTAGTAGATGCATTTTCTTGACAATTAAAATTTTTTTATCAGCTTTTACTTACTGTTCCCAAAAGCTATGTCATAATTTGAATTTACATTCGAGTCTCTTTGAAATTGATAGCAAGTGTGCGGGGAAATTATAAGGGCCCATTAAGCATTTTATCAAACTCAAACAGCCACATTTAAAAGAAAACACTTTTTTTAAATGCATATTTATTGTTGTTTTTTTCCAAATTTTGAGTTCATTTACAATCAAATTCTTCCATATGAATCATGGTTCGTTGCGTAGTCAAATTTAAAATGTTGTTGTCGGAATTGAACATAATCACTTCTTTCCGTTAAAAATTTAGTCAATAAAACATTATGTAACGTTTATAAAAGTGTATAAAAATGAACATATCTGTTTGTAAATGGTATATGAACAAAACATAAACAGGAATGTAAATGTAAATATTACAAAATATTTTAATTCAAAAATGTAAAAACTTTATAACAAAATGTCAGATAAAAATATCATATACAGTCAAACTAGCGAATCAGGGTCATACAAAGGAGATATCGAACATGGCCCTTATAGACAAGTGGTCTTTATTTTTGGGGTTGCTCTAGCTAATCAATGAAGAGTTATCGCTTTCATGTACAAGGTGATTCGGAGGCTGTCTTTTACACATGATTGACTGTATATCCTTTGTTGTCATAGTTTCCGCCAGGAATGATGTGTAAGCAGTAAAATAATATTTGATAAAACGACATTAGTTCCATTAGAACTAGATGAATAAAGTGGCTGATTTCTTCTGTGCACAAAAGTACGAAAGTACATAAGTACGAAGTATAGAGTGCTTTCGTCCTTTTTCATTTTCGTCTCATCATTAAAAAAAATCCAGGGCTTGAAATTAAAACATATCTTAATAAGATCGTTAAAATGATGGTTACATATTACAAAGTTTCTTATCCATTATCAGGAAAATATGTCACTTCTTATTCACTGAATGATATTTTTTATAAAAAAGTACAATAAACAAATAAATTGGCAAGACTTATGACAAAATGTGAACACGAAATATGTGTGTCGGCAATATTATCATTAGAATTTTGGAATCCCTTTTTTTATAGGTCAGCTGTGAATCAACAGCATCTTTTTAACCTTGATCTCTGAACTATGCAATTATTCTTCAACCAGTAGTTTCAATCGTATAAGTTCGGTCTACATTCTTACTTTCCGTAATCATTAGCTATACATAAAGCGGTAAGCTGATCAGATTATAGTTGCTCCTGGTACACACGCCTTTATTTATTCTTGATATGTCACGGAATGAGCCGTCTTATCACGAACAAATGTTGTGTGAATGCCTTAAATACCTATATAATTTTGTTCAACCTTAACAAATATCAAATATTTTTATACGTTATTATCTTCTGTTTGTCATGATTTGCGATACAAATATAGCATTTTCACTATAAATATGACTCACTAACATTTTTAGAATTGTTTTTCACTTCCGGTGGAGATTTATTTGTCACTATATCTCCATTAATACTTTTTTTATCCGAAACGCTGGCAGTTTTGCTTTGCTCCTCGTTTAATTTCTCCGTTTCTTCTGTTATCATAGCAAACTGAACATGTCTATAATATAGCATGAAATTGTTTACTAGCGCCGGAACTGTGAATCCGATCATTAAAACTCCCGCCATTGCGGTGCAAGAGCCCACTATTTTGCCCAGCGTAGTCTTTGGATACATATCGCCGTAACCTACGGTTGTCATGGTGATCAACGTCCACCAAAAACCACTCGGAATACTTTTAAACTCATCCCGATCATCTACATAGTAGATAAGCGAGGAAAACAATAAAATTCCGAGTCCCATGAACCAAACCAGTAACATAAGCTCACTAAAACTAGCTCTTAACGTATATATCAAAATCCAGAGGCCCGGAGAATGTCGGACGAGCCGGAAAATACGCAACACACGAATAACCCGGATGATGGTGATGTAACCAACCGCATCTACGTCACCTTTTAGATCGGGTCTAGCGTAATAAACAATGAATTCAATCAAGTCTGGCAAAATGGCAAGGGCGTCAATCACCGCTAGCAGTGATGTTGCGTGCTTCAACTTCTTTGGTGAAAAAACAAGTCTGGTGACATATTCAATAATGAAATAACTTAAACAAATAAGGTCCACCACTTGTAATGCAGGGTGTTTAATTCGAACTGTTCTTTCTTTGACGATATATTCACTCGAAGGCGATGACGTTGTTATGCCGCTAAGCGTCACGTTAGTTAACGATGATGACGTCGTGTTTAGAGTGTCTGTTGTTGACATTGTTGATGTCTTTGTGTTGTTGGGTGACAGCTCGCGTGATGTTTTTATAATAAAGTGGTCAAACGGTTCCGTTGTTTCTGCGAGGAAGGAAAAGATTGACACCACCACAAACAGCAGGGAGACAATACCGAATACCTGTATAATAACAAAAAGAATGACATCATGAATGATTGGGAGTTAATACACGGCCTTGTATGACTGGAAGATGAAAAATAGATGAAAAATGACACCAATAATATAATAAAATAGGACCGCGGAAGAAGATAATCTGTCCGATGAATAAAATAATGTTTTAAAGGGCCTCAACTCATGATCAATCACGTGACACTCGGTGAAAAACGTGCTTAGTTTTCCCACTACATGCATTTAAACAGTACATCGGTATACTCGTACACTGCATAGTAGGACCGGAAGGTGAAAATACATTAAGAATTACACCATTAATATGCATTGCTTATTTATTTATCGACACAATTAGGGTAATGTCATAACTAAGCCAAAGCCACACCAATTTTTTTTAGTACATTTTTGTCTTGTGAGGGGTGTTTTTCTATCGTGACGTCATTATTTGAGGAAATTCCAATATGGCCGCTCGCATACATGCTATCGGTGTCCTATTGTTATACATTAGTATTTCTTTGAATTAATTTGGTTCTTTTCAGTAATTGTTTATATTGTTGCAACTAGTAACTTATTTTATTTTTTAAAGAGATCTATTCTAGGATGATTAAAATAATCGAATAATTAACTCCAACAGACACTTCCGTTAAACTTAAGAGAAACTTTTACTAAGATTTATTTTAAAAGAAAATATTACTTTGGCTCCTCGTGACGAGTTGGTCCTATTCATAAACCGCCACACAACTGGCCGCCACCTCTTCCAGAACGTGCTTTCACCCTCGATAGCTTCAAGTGGTAACATGGTAGTTACCTTCCGGTCATGTTCGAGCCTCTTTAGAGCTTCCTGTCATAAATATATCATAATTGAAATTAGCTATACTGGCCAAGGAATGTGTGCTGTGCGCATGTTTAAGCGTTGCCCATAGTTGGGAATAAGTATACTAGTATAAAATTAATGTAATTTTCGACAGAAGTCCTTTCAACAAAATATAAACGGAGAATTTGGAGATGAGAATGTTGCTAAAGAAATATGAACTGTGTGTTGCTGTTGAGGCGTGTATAAGTATAAAAATGTAACTTTCGAGAGAAGTTCTTTAAACGAAATTAAAAATGGAGAATTTGAAGATGAAAATGTTGCAAATTCTAGAATTTTATTTCCCGAAGTATTTGTTATGTACAGTATTACACACTTTTTGAACTAAAATTTGAACTACATTTGCTTTAGAGTCTGGTTTTAGGCTCATATCAAATGTCACCTGAGTCAATCCGGCCCTTCGATCAACATCCGGGCAATATAATAATAGGTGATTCATTTACTAACGTGTAAATACTTGTTGCACTTATTTCGTTTCATCTGCGTATACTAACACTTAAAAAGTAAGATACATGTAAAACATTTCCATCACCTAAAGACGTCTCTTTTCTTCAAAGCTACCTATTTACCAATATACCTATGTGCGCGTCTTAAACAACGTAATCGGCCATAACTTATATACATAGGGATTGCAAATGCATAATCGGTTTGGACGAAGCTATTATGAACAATGTTTTGAAATCATTTTTACTTAAATTTGAAGCTGCGTTGATTGTTATAAAATCTAATATAGTTTGTACAAAACGTTTAAATTTGATGGCGCCTCATATATATTCTCTTTTGCTGAAAACCGACGAAATGAAAATGCACAGATGGAAACTCTACACTGATATGAAAAAGTTCACTGACAATTCAAAATAAAAATGCACACTGACGTAAAGAAACCGTACGCTTATTGTCATAAAACTTAACTTGTACTAGACTAGCAGAACTTTTTTGACGGACGGTGCTTGAATAACGTAACGTGCGTGCATCGTAACGTTTGTCCCAACGGTCTTTCTATATAATTATTATTGATGTGAATAAAAAAGATTTGCTTCAGACAAATGACTAAAACGTAATGTAGTAACGTACTTGTGTGGAATTCCATTCGTTATAATTAATCCAGCAGCACTGCTCTATTTTTTGTTGTCGTACACCCCAAAATTCCAGCTCTAATTTAGCAGACGGTCCGCAGATAAACGATGGCAAGTGGAGGCTTCCTGTGCGGAGGTAATTTAAAACTGACTGAAAATAGAATTTAAAGATTTATTAAAGTGTATTTGTGCGCAAATTTCGGATATGAAAGTTAATAATTGTATATGAAAGTAAAAGTTAGAATTAAACAATTAGGATTAACCCGAGATATGAATTTGTATAACAAATACCAGAGAACAAATCAAATTTCGGATATGAAAGTTAAAAATTGTGTGTGAAAGTAGAAGTCAGAGATAAACAATTGGGATATATTTACCCGGAGATATGTTTTAATCACAAACACCAGAGAAAAAATCAAAGTCTATCAGTCATTCTATGTTTGCAATTCTTGAAAAAATTGGCGATTTTTTTCTCTCATTCTTCATTATGGTTTTACCAAATTTGTTTCATTGTTTGGTTCGATTTTATCTCACACCGACACAGTATAGCTAGGTCATATGGTGACTTTCCAGCTTTACTGGTGGAGAAAGACGTCAAGAACCACGACTCCTTTTGTGTGAACTCTATACCGAGTTAAAATGTCTTTGTAGCATAGACTTTTATATAAAAGAACGTATTAATCTTAATCTTCGTTTTTGTTGTCTTCTCAGAACAAAAAAGGTTGTTGTTGTTGTTGTTGTTGTTATCATTCAATGAGAAAATGCATCGGTCGAATTATATGCCGGTAATAAAAATTTAGAAAAGTGTTATCAATTTCAAAAAGTTAAGAAATAAAGTATTTTAGGCTGTTTAAGGCATTGACAATTCACATTAATAACTTAATACCAATGTAATTACATGTATTAATAATCCATTCGAATTACCAAATATGAACCAGCATATGCAAAAAAATAGTCCTTAAACCATTCGTAACGGATTAGAAATATTTTGAAATAAGTTTGATTTTTTTTGTTTGCTCATCTTGTGGCATCCATCTAGAAGCAAAAATAAATACCATAGTTCATAAACATACTTTGAATATATCCGGGTCCCTGTCAAAGAAATATTCCATCCGGTCCTCCACATAGTACGAGTTGATGAAGTCAGAGTCGGACAGTCTTGTATGGACATTTGCTTCAAGCGTCCGCCTGAAAATATAAACGCATGTAGAGGTATTTCAACTATAAAATTTGTTTTGCAAGATTTGACGTCTGCAATTGACTTTTATCTAATTTCGGCCTTTTCATTATTTAGTGTTCTTTACCATATATGTTCATTACATATATGATGCCTATGAAATGCCTATGAAAGGATTGATTACAAAAGAATCTTTCTCTAAAAGCATGCAGTATTCCCAAAACTCTAAACTTATATCAGACTTTTACCTTCTTAAACTAACAATTTTAGAGATAATTCTTCCCAAAACCAAGAGGTCAAAGTCCCTTCCTATGTAAGGGAGAAAATTCATTCTAACGTGTAGTTTTAAACTTGATAAGGGATTGCCAATAAGTTACGGTTTTGCATCTCACCCTTGTAGGATATTGGGTTCAAGCCCTGCTGAGGTCACAACCGTGTTTCCCTATATATTTCTGTCATTTTATTAAGTTCATACATTTAATTTACCTTTCACACATATAAGATGGTTACCCTATAATTTGGCTGGGTTTTAGTAACTATTTAATTTATTCACAGGCATGCGCACTTATACACGCATGCATTAATCTAGAGAACAGCTTGACACGTGCAAATATCTCCGTTTAAATTGGTGTTCAAAGGATTGAGCTCTCGATTCAATTTTCACATACGCAGTGTAATTTTGATTCAAAATTGTTGATTTAAAGATTTTCATTGAGTATAAATACGAATAATTTATAAATAAGAATTTGGGCTCGGTAATTATATAAATAAGAATTTAGCCTAGTTAATTAATGTTTTTGTAAATTTGTATATCTTATCCATTGATACACTGATTTTAATGTCTTTGATAGGTTATACTCAATGGGTTTTATGGGATAAATCTGATACAGATCAGAGAATAACCATAAAAAGGATTTGAATGAGGTCACATTTTTACACATTTGAAATAAGAATGATACTTCAAAAATTGATCACGGCCGATACACTTATAGTTCTGCCAGGTGTCGTTATTTTGCCCTTAAGCCCGAAGGAGAAATATTAAGATGAATTTAAACAATATCAAACTGTTACTAAATGCATAAAGATTGTAAATAACGAAGACTGTTCCTAAAGCGCAACGGAGCATTCGGAATACATCGCCGAATACCCATATTCCGTTATTTACCGAAATTTGACAGAAAGTACCGAAAAGTTGCGATTGATAATTTGAGGGGAAAAAATCTTAACTTCTCATTTGTCGTTTATCAAGTGTCCGATTTCATTTTTTTTCTTCCGGCTGGTTAAATAATAATAATTCTCTTATATCATATGTAATCGTTCGGACCAGAATGATGATTACTTTACATTCATTTTTGAAAATGATACATTTTATAAGATAAAAAGAATCTTGACTTAAAGATAAAGTTTAAACATGAAAAAAGATTTTTGTTTTAATCATGCTTTGTATTGTGGCTAAAGGAAAATGTCTTACAAAAATCGCCATGTATCTCGTTTAGATAATTTACATTTTCGCCCAGTCACGAGATTTCACCGTAGGACTAGGCCTATGACACATATCTGCTTCCGTAGTTTCAATAACATCAAAATTGTATCATACAACTTTATATCTTACTTGTCACAATTTTAAGAATGTGACAAAAGAGCCGCGTCACGACAAAACAAACATAGAGCGTTTGCGACCAGCATGGATCCACACCAGCCTGCGCATCCGCGCAGTCTGATCAGGATCCATGCTGTTCGCTATAAGTTTCTCCACTTGTAATAGAGTTGGTAAGCGAACAGCATGGATCCTGATCAGACTGCGCGGATGCGTAGGCTGGTCTGGATCCATGCTGGTCGCAAACCCACTATGTTGGTTTTGTCGTGAATCGGCTCAAATGTACATTATTCATATGAGAATATATCTACAAGCTAAAGGTCATCTCTGAATTGGAGGAAAGAGGCCTATCTACGTGGAGTGTATTTATAGACACGTGTATAGTTTCGAGTCAGAAAAAAAGTAGAAAGTATATTTTGATTATTTTAAACATTAGAGAGAAGATCCCCAAGAGTGAGGGAAGAATTCTCATATACTATAGGCTTACCATATTACCGAAAACAAAATTGTAGATCTATTATGCTTTTGCATCGCTAAGCTTACCTGAGGGTTTCGAATCTTATACCGCCCACGTTAAAAGTGATGATGTCATGACTATGAATTTCTGTGACGTCGTCAGGGGGTTCCATCATCGGTTTCCCTTCTAGACTGTCGTCTTTAGGACTGTAAAAAAATAAATAATCTGTGTTAAGCTCTCTGTCGTACTAGTTATCACCAACATACTGTCGTATTGTAACCATCGTACTTTCACAATCGTATTGTCATGATTCGCGCTTTTTTTGCTCAGAAAAAAACGCGCTGGCTCTCACGGAACAACGTTTCAATACGCCAAAAAAAATATATATATAGAACGACAAAATAAACATTTGGCCTTTGTATATAGTCTCATCAGAAAGAAAGCATCAAACTAAGCACTACGGTGTTCCGTTTGGACAATCGTGATTTTTATTTGTTTGGGTCGTCAGACCAAACAAATAATGGTAGCGAAATTTCAGAGTCTAATGTTCTTAATTGCAAATGCCGAAAGTAGTCCACTTTTTTGAAGCGGTTACTTCCCTTTTGTATGTACACTAAAGCCGAAAAATTCAGGGGAGATCACTGCGTAAAGATGGTCAAAGACAGGCGCATCAATTTTCAAGCAAAGTAATTCCCGAATGGTCGAAGATTTCTAATATTGTTTTCTGGTATTTTCTGATCGAAAATAACTAAATACAAAGCGGACATTCAATCTCTGACACAGAAGTTTATGACAAACCTAACAACAAGTAGTTCTCAAAACAGCTTAAAACTAGCGATTTAAAAGAAAGAAATATTTTATTTTGTTACAAGTATCCAACAAATTACAACTCATTTAAAGTTAAACAATAGCGTTGGCTTATAGAATTGTCAATAAATGCACAATCACAAATTACGCGGATGAATATGATTTTATCAATGAAAATACTATTTTTAGCCATGTAGATTACCGAATACTACACAAACCGAGTAGTGGAATATATAGATTCTACATGTCGGACTGTTTGGGCGAGAGGATTTTCGCTAAAATATTTACTTCAATTTTAAACAACAGGTTTACCCTGAACAAAATACCTCGAAATTAATAAGGATTCCTGAATGCAATGGAAGTTCTAAATTTAGAATGACTTGATATTATTCAGACACACTGTGTATAACTTCTCCGTGGTACAGTGGTAACGCGCTCGCTTAGTGAGTGAGAGGTCTCGAGTTCGAATCCCAGTATAGGAAATTTTTTTTTTGTTAAATTCTTTTTTTAATTGTTTTTGTTAAGGAAGTAGCCATGATTTACAAGGATAAAGTGTGGCTGTCGTAAAAAAAGTACATAAATGATTTTTTGATGCAACTCTAGTTATGCAGAATTCCGTATGTGCCTTACAAAATGAATTATAATACATAAAAATAAACTTATACAGGAAAATGCATACAGATATACAGTACGATTTAGATTGCAAAGATCAGAAAATACCAAAGAACTTGAAGCCCTTTGATTCTTTATAAATATACATGCTTATAGTAAGCTTCAGGATTATTTACATCTGTGTTAAACAACAGTTAAAAGTCGTTACAAGCCCTAATTTAGAATAATATGGTTTTCTTCAGGCCGTTCACATATAAATTTAACCGTGGCTGAAGGGTTTTCGGGCTCGCTAAGGAAGCGAGAGGTCTGGAGTTCAAATCCCAGTAATATTTACTTCAATTTTAAACAACAGGTTTACCCTGAACTCATTTTTTTAAATTGTTAAAGTCAAATAAACATTGGATTGAATATCAGTGTTGCAATTAGTCTTATAGCCAATTTACTACAATTAAAACGCTGGAAAGCATTGGTGGCACTAAACATATAATCTCACAACCTGCACCTTTCTTACATTCTGAGACCCAAACAAATTCAGCGCCTTCTGTGCTTTGATTTTTCTTCCCTACCCGCGATGCACGATGGTACGATGCTGAAAACGCGATAGTACGATGACACGATGATGAAAACACGATGGTACGGTGGTGAAATCGCGATGTCGCGATGGTACGATGATGAAAACGCGATGTTATATCGCGTTTTCACCATCGTACCATCGCGTTTTCACCATCGCGTTTTCACCATCGTGCCATCGCGTTTTCACCATTGTACCATCGCGTTTTCACCATCGCGCCATCGTACCATCGCCTTTCGGTCAGTATGACCAGTACACATACAGAAATATGTCAGATTCTGATACGGCAGATAGTAAAAAAAACATGTTTAGAATACTTACTAATTAATTTGAGTTATAAATAATAAAACCTTTATCTTTACATCAAATATTCCATTTATATTAGTATATTGTATATAGATCAGACTATTTGATATATGCTAATATAAGCTTATATGTATGTTTTATGTATTAGACGGAGTTACCGCTCTTTAGACCTCGCGTGCATTCGTTTTGTATATATTGCGAACAGCGACAAAAAAACTGTCTGTGATTTTAAAGAAGTCATGTGTGCATGAAAATATCTTGTGACAAGGGTAAGATTAAACTGCAGCTTTTAAAAACCTACATAATTGTAGTCGACATAGCAGACGACAGACGGATAGATTTACAGCTGTGCTTTAAGTTTATACAAACAAGCACATGATTGTTTTAGGTTTAAGGATAACGGATCAAGATTTCAAAATTTTATTTATTCATGGGGCATTTAGCATGCTTTAGATGTGAACAAAAATGCATAAACACGGCTGTCAAAAGTTAAAGAAAGTGGCAAATACAGATTTTGACAATTATCCTAATCAGTATGTATGCGAGCCGCCATATTGGTACTTTCTCAAAATAATGACGTCACAGTGGAAATCACCCAGTCACGTGACAGAGAAGTAATGAACATCACCAGTATGTTTAACGAAAACTGTCATAAGAACGCGTTTGTGGCTTCGGGTCTTTTGCCGATCAATAAGGGTTCAAAACTCGCGACTATCCGAAAAAGCGAAAACACGAAAAGAGGACAAACTTCCTTTTGAGGCGAAGAATCGAAAATTACGACATTGCGTAAATTAGCCACCATGCATACTCTGCGATTTTCTTACGGCGAAGGAAAACAACTGATGTTGTTTTTTTTCTTCAAATTAATAAACTCGTACATGCTGAATTTTTGAAACTGACTTGTCTTCCATATTTAGACCTTTGAAGATAACTATGAAGATGAAACTTAAAGATTTATCTCGCTTTACATCATATATGAACTTTACCATATTTCAGGAAAAAACAATTCATTACATTTGGTGAATTTTCAACATAATATGTACTAAATGAAAAGCGAACAGTGCAGACATGGACATAGATGTGCCGGCTGATCTTGGTCTACACTGGTCGCATGGGTTGGATTAGTTATCGCTAGAAGGCTAAAGATTTAAGTTCGTTAGGTTTTTTAGTTGTTCAGCCAGCTGCATCTATGATCTCTAACATGTGTATTGATGACTGATGGCTTATTTGGGCGTGGTGGATGGGGGGGGGGGGTGTGTGGAGAAGTCAACTGGGCAAGGGTAAAATAAAGGAAACGACATTGCATATTAGAACAGCTATATTTCTCGGAGTGCGTTTAAAATACATGCATTACAAAATGTTAAAATTTACAATGTGAAAAATGTCAGATATTAATAACATTTACTTGACTGACGTAACAACTTCACGTTTGTAACAGTTTTACAGTGAAGCTATTATTCATAAGTATAAACACGGTAGCTTTCTTTATGAAACATGCTAGCCGTATTCTGATGTTTATACCAAGTTGTAAACACAATATACAAGTTTTATTAAAACATTCCAAAAATTGCTACATGGGGATCGCTGGATTTAAATCAGATTTTGGTACGTTAAAATCGGCCGTTCACCCTTGGACATGGTTTGGGACAAAAAGTATGATTATTGTCCCAGATTTGCCAATAACCCGCTGGGACCAAAAGTGATTAGCCTTTGCAACCAATATTTAGAGCCGGGCCAGCTTCATCAGTTGGTAAAGTTTGCAGCCCATTTTTTGTATATTCATTTCAGTTCGACTGTGTTGGAAATTGAAACACTCTATAGAATCTATAGAATCCGTTCCTGGAAACAACCAGAACTAGGCAATTTATGTAACGTTTCTTGCTCAAGGAAACAACAGCTTGCCCCTGTTAAGGTTTGAACCCACGCGGTCAGCACTCCTTAGTTTGATACTGAAAACCCTTTAAGGTTAAAAGGACTGTTCCAAATAAAAAGCAGAGCAACCCATAACACAGATTCAGCAGAGCAGGTTGTGGATTAAGGCCGATTGATAAAACGACAAAAATTTTTTAGATTAAAATCGAATATAAACATATCACGTTTTCCCATAATGTAACGAATGAAAGAAACTTCATATTTAACAAAAACCAGTGTGTTACTTTAATAGCTGTAAATGTCATTTTCATACAAAGTTACCACATTTTCATAATAAAATAAAAAGTCCGTCTTGAATTTGCACCTGGCTGTACAATTAACTGTTTCGCGCGTAAATACGGGTGTTTAACTTTTTCATGTTGTTTCATATTTTGCATTTTTGTGTATGTGCTAAATATGTGTATTTTGATAACATTAAAAAGGATAAATTCCTATAACATTTTAGATATCAACAGTCTGTTTTAAAATTATAAGTGCACATCGGTCATTAATATAGATATACAGTGGTCCTCACTTGATACGAACTCGAATAAGCGCACACTCGGATATGAGGAACAAATGCATCCCTTCCTTCCGTCTTTAACTAACATTAATATCCTCGCTTATAGCATACTTGCTTATAGCGTTAACTTGGTTTTAAGAAACACCAAAATTAGGTCCATTACAACCATTTACAGTCTAAAACAATGGTAATACATTTCAATATAATTATATACACCAGATAGCTTGAGTATCCAAATATATAAATAAAATATGTAATTTGTGACTAAGTGATATATGAATTGAGGACGAGAGATCAGTGGTTTTACGCAGGTGCCGGCACGTGCAAAGAGATATCTAGAGACCTCTCCCATCCAACCATACTAGCCACTGCTACCGTCCATGCCATCCTCCAGTCCCACCCAATATAAACGGTACTATAAAATCGCCATAAAAATCTTATCAAACTCGATGTCATCCAATTATGCAGTAAAACAA